TTCCTGCCGAATTTTACTCACTTCGTAATATCTCAAGTCAGAAATTTGACTCTAGGGGCATCATGGTTTTTAGATCATCCTTTATTCTTTTGTGGGGGAACAGCAGTCATTACTTTACAATCAGCTGACTTTTTTTTCCATCCATCCATATTCATCCGCTTATCCGGAGTCGGGTGGCGGGGGCAGTAGCCTAAGGCGAGAGGCCCAGACTTCCCTCTCCCCAGCCACTTGGGCCAGTTCCTCCGGGGGAATCCCAAGGCGTTCCCTGGCCAGGTGAGAGACATAGTCCCGGATCTACCTTTAGGTCTCCTCCCGGTTGGACATGCCCGAAACACCTCCCCAGGGAGGCGTCCTGACCAGATGCCCAAACCACCTCAACCGACTCCTTTCGATCCGGAGGAGCAGCGGTTCTACTCCGAGTCCCTCCCGAATGTCCGAGCTCCTCACCCTATCTCTAAGGCTGAGCCCGGCCACCCTACGGAGGAAACTCATTTCGGCCGCTTGTATCCGTGATCTCGTTCTTTCGGTCATTACCCAAAGCTCATGACCATAGGTGAGGATTGGGACGTAGATCGACCGGTAAATCGAGAACCTGGCTTTCTGGCTCAGCTCCCTCTTCACCACGACAGATCGGCTCAGCATCCGCATCACTGCAGACGCCGAACCAATACGCCTGTCGATCTCCCGATCCCTCCTACCCTCACTCGTGAACAAGACCCCGAGATACTTAAACTCCTCCACTTGAGGTAGGACCTCTCTCCCGACCCGGAGTTGGCAAGCCACCCTTTTCCAGTCGAGAACCATGGTCTCAGATTTGGAGGTGCTGATCCTCATCCCAGCCGCTTCACACACACACATTTTATTTCCTTTTAAATTAAAAAAACTATCGAATGTGTTTCATCATTCTCAAGAGCTCAAGAAGAAAAAGGCTGAAAGACAAGAAATAAATATATTTATACTGTGCAAGTAGTTGTTTTCCCTAAATCAGTGCAGTAGGACATCAATGTGGGAGGCAGGCAGAGATGATTCATTTAGCAGGGGTTAACACAGGTCCCTCATGCTAAACTTGGTGGTAAACGGCAGCTGCATGCCCAGGGTAACAAAACGCTAACGAAGGAAGAGATGGTGACCTTGTTCAGGGCTGAGGATGCGAGTGAAAAATTCATATTTTGAACCGTTGTTGCACATACATAAAAGCTTCTGACAAAAAAGGACAAGGCTCTGCTGCTCTCCTGTCTACTGAGCAGAGCAAGATTGTTGACAAGTGTCATTGTCATGGAAATGCTACACAAGCGATGGATTGTCTTTTCTTTTAAAGTTGAACAACCATTTTTTTTGTCTTCAGCCCTCAAAAGAAAGAAGCGCAGCAGAATCAGAATCACCTTTGATAGTATTTTATTGCTGTTTGATGCACAGTAAAGAGAAACCGTATAACGAAGCTGCTGGATGTGTCTGCACACACTGTACAAAAACGCCAATCAGATTCATTTCTTTGTCACCAAGACGATATTCAGCAGTTGATTTTAGCCTCACAGTCCCACATTTAGTTACCGCTACACACACCCACTCAGACATTCACCCACTCTCTCCATCACGCTCAGATTTCCTCCAACTCTTCCCACTCACGGTGAAGCTTTCAGACCACCCTTATTAGGACATTGCATTGACTCCATTTGTTGAGGACAGATTGACGTTGGTTGTTATACACGGAAAAGGTCCTAACAAGGAAACACACACAAAAACGCTCTCTTGACTAAATATACTTCATTCATAGTTTGAGGTGGACATCATATCCTGTGTTTGCCGTGTCTCATTGAGCTGTCACTCACTTAAGCAAACAGGCTGTATTTAGGCACACATCCACATGTGTGTCATTGTTCCGTCGAGGTTAAGAGGTCAGTGTGCAAAGGGACATTTCAGCAGAATATTTCCCAGAGGTCATTGCAAAACTCAACTCAATATACAGATGGTGAAACAGACCCGTGGCACTCTTTTGGCCTTGATTCCTTTCTTTTTTTTAAATGTATGACGTCCACTGAGTTTTATTGGTTTTATCACACATTTTCAGAGCGAAAAAGAAAGTTTGCACCTAAATTCAGGTAGAAAAGTTGATGAAATGAGTAGTTATTTATTCTTTAAGCAGCCTGTGGGAATAGAAACAATTCTTGTCTTTCAGAAGGGATCACATTTCTGTTTGCACAAACAAAAGCACTTAGCAGGTTACATCAACCAGTCTAATCTGGTCAAACTGTGCACAAGAGGAGATCTTCTTACATAAATCCCTTCTCTAGATGGAGATGTTTTCCTTTTTCAGTGTTACTTTTAGACCTCTACCATTAAGATCTATCGTTAAGTCCACTCATGATATGGAAAGGTGTAAGTGTGTGTGTTTCGTTGTGTAAATTTCAGAAATTTCTAAATTCTGGTATTTAGTCCCAAAGAAGATCCAGCTGGTAACAAAAATCTGGTGATGTTATTATTGGCTGATCATTTTTAATGACCATTATTGGCATTAAAATGTAATTTCAGAAATTATCTGTATCAGGTTTTAAACTATTAATGACACAACCTGTACATAGCACGTATATGTTATACATGAAACTCTTCCACTGCTTCTCTGTTCACTCAAAATATCAAAATATGACAGATCCTATGTCTAGTTTTTGAGATAATGATGTTTTTTGGCACAAGTGCCCTGACTTAAAATGGAATAGTTGTCACGTTACACAGATAATCTTTAAAGTTACTGGTGATACTTGATGTTAGTTACCTAAGTGTTCCAATTTGGTTCCTTTCTGCTGTGCCACATTCAAACTGGGCTGGGGAGGAAATTAGTGGCAAACAAATGACTTCTTATTGATGTAATGAGGTGAAAAGCATCATGTTTCCCTCTCAAAACAGGGTTATTTAGTGCAGGGGAGTGTCATAGCAGAACAAACTGTGTTAAAGCTGACAACTTGAGTAAACGTCCCTCTTTATCTTTTGGTAAAACTGCCATGTTTGCAGAAGTCACAGATATTTGCTGTTGAAGACCGTGCTTTGATTGGAGATATGCGACGTTTGATCGAGACAATCACATCCCTGTTCGCCATTATGTGTACACCGCGCTTGTCAGGATAATAGCAGTAAAGACTGGTTTCGTATGTACCATCATTGACCAGGAATTTGTTTTTGGAGACGCTGGTGCAGACGTATTGATTTCCACCATAGCAACAGAAATACATAGAGGCAAAACAGAAGCTTCCTAGTCACCACAGAGACGATGTGCAAGAGTGTCTGCCAGAGCAGTGCCTTAATGATGTGGACTCATCACTTTTCAAAGGGCGGGAGATTAAGAAGGATCATGGGTGGACCCCAAAGAAAGGCTTTGGAGATGGAGACACCACTTGAGGCAAAAAAATAAACCATGTGTACAGAAGGAGGGAGGAGGGATGGGATATCAGATGTTCCTTGGTGGGGTGATCCTCTGTGTGTGTGGCGCAATAGAGGTGGTGAAGTTTGATCTGATGATTTCCCAGCTAAAAATCTTGGTGTTACCTCAGTTCCTGCTGAAACTTTCAGAAAGTTGATGGGAACAAATTAAGACAACACTCCTTGTTTGTATCTTTTTGTGCTGCTATGTAGGTCTCTCCTGCCTCTATAAACATTCCAAACATGTAAAAACCCAGACCATCTATTTTCTGTCAGTGTTTGGTTTTAGGAATTAAATGCCTAAAACAAGCAGCTTCAAAAAGTTCCTATTTGTGACATCACAAACAGGGAAATGTGTATGGAATGACCTCCCATTTCTCCAGCCTGGAGGTGCAGCAGCTCTACTCTGAGCTTGAATGGGGGATGGCTGGGCGTGGCCAGCGTCAGCTTGTTTTCTTAAAGCGACATAGCCCTGAAACAGCTCATTCTGGAAGGTACTGAAAATGTCAAGAATACTTCTGCTGAACTTCCTTTCTCTGAGAGTGATTTTGTGGAAAGGACATTTTAGTACCAACTGAAAAACTATTAAACCTTAAGAAAAAAGTAATAATACGCCCACTTTAATTGCTTTCAAATGATGCACAGTTTACAACGAACCTATTTTCGTCGTTCTCTTTGCTCTCTCGTGCTCTGCTTCGCTCAGTCACACACAAACCTTATACTCATTTTCACATCAGTCTCCACGGGGCCCGCAGCCACTAATTGTGTCCCAGGCTGGGAGGCGAGAAGAAGTGTTGCTGGGAGTGTTGGGTGTACCCAGCAGAGAAGCAGGCAAGGCTGGGCACAGCTGTCCCCGGAGGAGGAAGGCCTTGTTCTCATATCGTTGCCCACACAGATTCCCAGAATTCTCGTCCCCGAAGATGTTTGTCATCAAAGAAAAATTGTCTGTTTCCTACTGGGCTACCTCAAGATGAAGTGATCAGTGTTAGAAAGCAACAAGACGTTTATTTTCGCCAAACTTTTCCCTTTTTATCGCCTTATATATCGCTGCAGCCAGGACATTCAACAATTTTTATGGTGTGCAAATGTTGCAACAAACAACTCTTTTATGGGCAGTGTGTGTTCCTGAACAGTGCTCCTCTCTTTGGTTCAAAGTCCACAAAGGCAACATTGTTGCTTTGTCTCGCTGTCTCAGCTCCTTTATCTAATATTTCCCTTTCATCTCCTTTAATTTATGAACATTTTGTAATATTTCTCAGCAGCACAAGACTCACTTGCTTTACCATATTTATTTAATTACAACCTCCGTCCTGGTTTATTTTTCTACCTTTTCCTTCAGTTTGAAAAGCTTGATTAATTGCTTGATTTGCATTGGGTTTTTTTTTTCATCAAGGCTGCCACAGCTCAAAGAGGAAAATCAAACTTGTAGAAAATGATATAAATGTGCTCACGAGGAGGGGAGCAATATTTTAATTAGCCTGCGAGTCTAGAGACATTTTCTGGTTTAATGCAACTTTATTTCTCATTTTCTGCAAAAACGCGCGTCTACGGGATTAATTAATATCCTGAACTCCTCTCGTCTTTTTCAGCTGATGTCGGACCAGCTGGTCGTGCTTTTGGAGCTTCTGCTGGAAGAATCCGAGCTGAGCGTTACTTTACTGCGTGCTCTGCAGAGGACCTACAGACTACGGGAACAAGATGCTGAGGTAAGACTTCACGCAGCTTCACCCACACACACACATGCTCAGACAAACGAGCATTTGTAACCAAGCTCCCAGATGACTTCATCCAAAACAAAAAATTAAATATTTTCTGTTTTTTTAATAAATCCACAATGTTATTTTTTTGGATGCATAGTAAATGATTTTGTAGATGTTTACTGCTGCTCTTTGGTGCTAATTGTATGTTTTTCTGCCTGCCCTCCCTCAGAAAGTGTGAAAAAAGTCTATATCGACTGCACTGGCCTAAATTTTTAACACATTGATCACTTTTATTTTTTACTTTTTAGGTTCACACATAATTAGCATGTTTTTGTTATTTTCATTTGCGTAATTTATCTGAGACGATTATCTGACCTTGCAGTCACAAACCGGGGCCGCTCTGTTTGGCCTCGGCTCCAGCTTTTGAACCGGAATTCTCCAGTCAGACTTCCTGGCAGACTAAAGCCATTTCTCATGTGTAATTTCCTGGAAAAAGTCTTTCAGAGCTCGCTAAAAATATACAGGCCCATCACCACATTGTTATGCATAAGAAAAACGCTCCCCGAGACATTCACACACCGGCGTACACCTGTTTAAAGGCAGCGGTTCATCCTGATGTTATTAATCTCAATCAGAGGAGGTTAACCTCCTCATCTCCTTCTGAATGTATTTCTTCTACTCTCTTTCTGAAGCTCGTTTTCTTGTTTTGCCTGATTCTGCTTCACATTGTCTGGCAGCAGCTTCTCCTCAGATGATCTATTTAAAAGGATAAATAAAGAACTGAGTACCGCTCAGCCCCTGGAGCCTTTCATTATTTACCCTACTGTGAATGGAAGCCTTTTCAGATTAAACAAATATTTAGTAAAAAGTTGGGATCTTCTGCCTTCAATCGAAGTCATTTGATTTCAAGTAATGACAGAGTCCCATAAAATGCATTAAAATGAGAAGGAAAAAGGAGAACACGTTCAAGGTGTCCTATGTTTTTATTACTTTTCTATTTCTTTTTTTTTAGTATTCAAGTAATTTGGGGGCGACGGTGGAGTTTAGTGCTCTCCCCGCAATCGAAAGGCGGCAGGTTCGAGTCCCTCTCAGGCTGTCACTGTTGTTGTGTCTTTGGGCAAGACACTTAACCCACCTTTCCTGCTGAATAAGCTTCCTCTGAGCATAAGGGCCTCCACCTCTGTTGCGGTTTTTAAGGCAAGGCTAAAAACATATTTTTATGACCTGTCTTTTAACCTTTCTAACTAGTTTTATTGTTTTACTTATAGCATTTTACTCATTGTAGTTTTAACTGTATCGTGTGATACAATGTTTTATTTTCTGGACTTACTGTTTTATGTTTTTATTTGATCAGTGTAGCGCCTTGGTGGCATCTTTTTGCCTGTAAGGCGCGATTTATAAATAAAGTTGAGCTGAGTGGTGATCGGAGGGACCGGTGACGCCTGAGTACAGCAGACTCGCCTCTGTCGGTGCGCCCCAGGGCAGCTGTGGCTACAATGTAGCTCATCACCACCAGGGTGTGAATGTGTGTGTGGATGGGTGAATGACTGATTGTGTTGTTAAGTGCCTTGGGGGGGGGGGTCCAGGACTCTAAAATGCGCTGTAACAAATACAGGCCATTTACCATTTAATTTCCTTAATTTATCTGCCCAAAAAACATTACTGGTTCAGGAATAACATTGATAAAAATCTGAATATTACTAATTTATGTAAAAGTATCTTCTTCACTCATATTTCAAATCGATTGGAGGATTCAGGATCCCGCCCAGCCCCGCCTCCCCATCGGACTCTGATGTTTTGTATCTGTGATGTTCGTGCTTCTATGTTGAGGAGGTTTTTTTTTTTTTGTATAATAGAGTTACTCCCCGCTGGGTCTAACTCTGCTATGCCTTTTTTTTTTTTACCTTACCCCAATTATCCTCATGTAACACCCTTTTCATCTAATGAAATGAGCGCCGTTCTGGCTGCTCTCGTGACTGCCTGTACCTGTTTTTGTCTACATGTGTGTGTGTTTAACCTTGGTCAGGTTGTGTTGCGGAGTCAAGTTCCTATGCTCTGGGTCGCTGGAGCGCTGGCAATAAAGCTTTTTCTGATTCTGATTCTGATTACTCGGTGTGTGGCTGTATTGAGCGATGCGCTTTCCCGTGATGAGGCAGGCACGCCACTTTTCTCTGCATTACATCCGTAGAACTGATTGTGTTAACGTTGTGATGAAACGGTAGCTCATACCGCGGCTCCAGGAGACTGTGAAACTGACGTTTGCTACCACAGTCGTTCAGTGTGATGAACTCTGCTTTCCATAACGGATTTCTCTTTATGTTTTAATGTATATTTAGTGTCGGCGGGCTGGGTCCGTGTTTTTGTCCAAGTTGCTGCAGTGAACTCGGCAAGCCAGGTGTTTGTTTTTAAGGTGGCAGACTAGAACTAAATGCAGAAAGATGATTTACTGTCCTGAAGGGAAAAGCTGACAGAGAAAGAAAAGATTTTGTTTTTAAGGTACCGTATCAAATTTGTAGTGCTGAATGCAGCTCTGTCTTTTCCATCTGGTGAAATGTGCAATATTCACACATTACAAGTGGCATTTGCTCTGCCTTCGCTGTCCGGATGAAAATACTTTCGTACTACTGACATTTTCACTCTCCCAAGCAGACATATTGAGCCAAGGAACCTTGCCTTGATGTCTTGGTCTCGCCCCGGTTGCCTAGGAACGTCAGCAGGAACCGCCAAGGCTTGTTCCAATGTTCATGTTTTATCGAGGCACCTGTTCTTCGTTTGTTAGCCGTTTAGCTAGCTGAGCAGGGATACACGGGAGGTGTCTTGTAGCCTAGCCTTGGTCAAAAATTACCCAGAATACATTGCGGTATTTTCAAAAGGATGGCGGATCAGAAGCCAGCAGCTACTTCGGGGGCAAATTTCAAGTTTAAATGTAAGTCAACTAATTGTAGCTATCGGGCCGATATCTGGAATGTTTTTTTTTATATACAAAGAAGTTAGCTATGGTTGGTTAGATGGTAGTAGTTGCAACTTCGGTGGATAGCGGGTAGTAACTTGCTTACATATTTAATTTAACAAATATATACACAATTTTAAAAGTAAAAGGTATATATTTATATAGAAACTTATACATATAAAATATAACGTTATCTCACGTGACGCATGATGTTACGTGACCGCCACGGAAGTCGCAGTCACATTATGCAAGTCTGTTTATTTAACTGTTTTCTTTGACCAAGGAAGGACTGTGTCCTCATAAGCAAGGCGCTTGGCCTCGCAAGACATCGCCCTGCAAGGCCAGGCGCCTTGACATTGAGAAACACCCATTAGCTCTACATTAGCCTGCTAGCTAACAGCTGCATGTTACTTTGTCTGAATTCCTCGCCTTAGTTGAACTGTGTGACGTTACAGTGTTGCTGTCGTCCATGAAACGATGAAAATTTATGTAATTAAACTTGTTAAAATGAAGAGTAAACCATTGTCACATGAATTTAAAAGGCTTGTTGTTTTATAAGGTTATGTCCGATCTTTTCCACCTGATTCCCATCATTAGAAAATTTTGTGATCGACTCAGAGCATCCTTAGTAAAAAGCTCTGTTTGTGAAATTGAACGGGTGTTAATTTTACTGTCATCCTAAAATTTTCTGAAGAATAACTGAGCAGCTTAAGCTTTCTGCAGTTATGATGATTTCTTTAGTTACGTTTTAAAGAATCCATTCTGCAGATTCGTTTAAACACGATCAAAGCCTCGTTTACCTAATATGGCAGCGTGCTGGTGCATATTGTTTCACCATCTGTTCTACGCTAAACATATCTCTGTGCAAGCAGAAGGCGGTTTAACAGCGAAAGTGATAACAGAGCTACTCTTTAAGCTGACAGTGCTGGCGTCAGAAAACATGCAGAAAAAGTGAAAGGAAGCATGTTGGTGTCACGGCTCCACATTGACCATGAGTACTGGTGTGATCGGGCCTGAGTGAGAATGGTATTGTAATTCTGGCTCATGTGTGTGTGTGTGTGTGTAAGAAGTTTAAATACAGCATCTAATGTGGTGAGTCAGAGAAGAATACAGAAAATGTAATTTCAAATCAACACAAAAGCCTTTATACATTCACATCTCCATTTAAAATTATAGCTTTATGGTTATTCTATTTATTATTTAGGGCAGCAGTAGCTCAACAGGAGAGCGGGTTGTCCAGTAATTGAAAGGTTGCAGGTTCGATCCCGGCTCCGGACAGAGAATTCCGCTGTTGTGTCCTTGGGCAAGACACTTAACCCACCTTGCCTGCTGGTGGTGGTCGGAGGAACCTTTGGCGCCTGGGCTCGGCAGCCTCGCCTCTGTCAGTGTGCGTCAGGGCAGCTGTGGCTACATTATAGCTCATCAGTGTGTGAATGGATGAATGATACACTGTAGTGTAAAGCGCTTTGGAGTCCTTACTCTGAAAGGCGCTATATAAGTGTGGGTCATTTATCATTATTTGACTGTAGGGAAGACAGCTCCTTTAAATAACAACAAACATCCGTATGCCAAAAGTTGAATCCAGAGGAAACTTATGGGGTGTGCAGGTGAAGAAAAGAAATCTGGTGTTGCATGAACCCGAAAAGTCCGAAACTATCGACCTTTTATTATATTTCATCTTTTAAATAATTGTTTTCTTCAGAGGCCAATGAAATGCTCATATTGCACCGATGCAAATCTCACATTGTAGTTACGGACGTCCAATATAAACGTCCAATGATAAACAATCATATAAATCGTTTAGTTGCAATATTTTGACTACACATTAAGTTAAAATAGTCAAAATAGTTACTTACAAGTTTTTGAAAAGCTTTATCCACGAGTTCGCCTGCGCATGCAAGCTCTTCCAAGATGGACCGTCCCACTCAACTGTCAGTGCCTTGTGCCTTCTTCTTCCGTTGCAGGATAAATGGGCGGGTTCTGGCATTTATCTTCCGTCTAAGCCAATAGCGGAGTTTTACATACTCATATTTACGCTGAAGTCCAACCTAATCAAAATTGTTCCCAAAAATATTGAGTTGGGAAAATTGTAGAAGTTTTTGAGTATGGAAAACATTTAAAATGCTAAAATTTTTCTAAATAAAATTTTCTGAGAAAAATAACTTTAAAAAAAAAGTTGCATGTACTACACCCAGAAAATGTATTCACAGTGAATGTTGGCATTAAAATGTAATATTGGAAATGATTAGTATTGGACTTGTAATTACATAACCTTTACATACCATGCACATAGTATATAGGGCTGCATGGTGGCGCAGTTGTTAGCACTGTTGCCTCGCAGGACGAAGGTCGCAGGTTCGAAACTCGGCTGCGGCCTTTCTGCGTGGAGTTGCGTGTTCTCCCCATGCATGCGTGGGTTTCCTCCGGGTACTCCGGTTTCCCCCACAGATCACAAATTGTAAGTCGCTTTGGATAAAAGCGTCTGCCGAATAAATAAACATAAACATAATAAACATAGTATAAATCAAACTCTTGGACTACTTCTCTCCTCACTCAAAATGTAAAAGTTTGACAGAACCAAGGTTTAGTTGTTGAGATATTTAATTTGGCAAGAAGTTTAAACCAGGGTGGTAACGGCAAAATTACTCACAGAAATTGGTGATTACTCATTTTGTTTACCATACCAAGTTTATTTGTGTAGCACATTTAAACACGGCACGAGAGCCGACCAAAGTGCTGAACAAAAACACACAATAAAAACAATCAAAAATAAAAACAAAATCCATTAAAATCGAGCTATTCAAATTCTTCATTTGAAAGAACTTCTATTGGTTTAGTAAAATATAACACATTATGTTTATTAATTGAAAGAATGTACGGGTTTCTTTGGACATGTTCTGCTTTGTTCAGTTTAGTTAGCTTAAAGTAAGCCACGTATAAAGAAAGGGTTTGGGCTTGAGCTCAATAAGTCTAAACTTCTGTCCACTCGTTTTCAAACGTAACAAGATGAAAATTGCATCTATGAAGAAAGACGAAGAAGAAAGTATCATTTCTATAGCGCCTCTCAAGGTGAAAATCACGAGGCGCTTCACAAAAACAAAAAATGTAAAAATATTAAAAAGAATTTAGAAAATGATTAAAAATATATTTAAAATGAGCAAAAAATATGCAATTGTGATTAAAAAAGATAAAGAAAGAGAGAGAGTGAATAAGAAAGAGGGAAATCAGTGGATCCTGAGGAAGGTGGAATAGGTAGACAGCAGAACAAGGAGAGGGTGATGAAGGTCACACCAAAACCAGCTTGAACAAGTGAGTTTTCAGCTGTTTTTTAAAGGAGACCACTGACCCCAAAATTCCACTATCTCCGCTCCGGCACGAACTCCGCAGCAAAAATGGTCCCTTTGTAATCAGAGCTGTTCCACTACCGCGGCCGTGCGGCGCAATGCGCTGCCCCCCGTTCCGCCATCCGGCAAAAATAGGATCAATTCTATTTTTGCCGGACGCCGGAGCGCCTCCGCAGTCAATGGACAGAAATCACAACCGCCCAACAGGAAAGGGAGCAAGCACAACTTCCATTATTTCACAATAAATCGATAAACAAAAGGCGTTTTTTGTTTCATATGCACAGGTTTAACAACTTTTAACAACTATCAATGGCGGTTGAACTTTAAATGCACAAAAATAAGCCATAAATACAGTTTCCACTAAGAAAACAACAGTGACAGCCTGAGAGGGACTCAAAGTAGTCACCCTTTGTTGATCCAAACACTGCTGATCTCTCAACACAAATGATGGGCAGATTAAACAGTTCATTTCGATGCTTCTCCCACACAACGGGTGTTTGGATCTAACTTCCGCGTTTATTGCTCGGACTGTATCGCAAGATCTCGAAAGTCCCGCGCATGCCTGTTTGCGCACCTCAGGTCTCCGCACCGGGGCGGAGCTGTTGTAGAGCGGGTATAGTATAATTTGAGTTCGGAAGCGAGCGGCAGCGGAAAGCGGGGGCGGAGAAGTGGAATTTTGGGGTGAGTCCACTGATCTCAGGCTCAGGGGGAGAGAGGTCCAGAGTCTGGGGGCCACAGCAGCAAATGATCTGTCCCCTTTGGTCTTTAGCCTGGTGCTGCACAACCAGTAGGCTTTGATCACTGGACCTCAGGGACCTGCTGGGGGACTAAGAAGATCACCAATGTAAGATGGTGCTTGTCCATGTAAGGCCCTATAGACCAGAACCAGGATCTTGAAATGAACCCTGAAGTTGACTGGCAGCCAGTGAAGCTGGAGGAGAAGCGGGGTGATGTGGGTGTGTGATAACAAAAACAACAAACAAGTAGAAATTTGCCACGTGTTGTAGGCGTTTGTCGGGATTATTTCTGCGATGATGTGATTCAGCAGACAAATAAATATTGAAACTTTTTTTTCTATCGACTAACATCAAGTGAATTCATTGGCATATTTTGCACAGATAGTGTTTGAAATTTAAGTTTGCATGATACGTGATCTTATTTACCTAAAATAATTTAGTTTTTTTAATATCAGTTTTGGAAATTAAGAGTTAGAAAATATCGGTTTATCTGTAAGGATAAAAAAAAGCCGACACGGAACATCCCTAGTATGAACCAATACGCTTTTGCAATTAGAATTCTTGGCAGATGATGTGACTAACGAAACGGAACAAAAAGATCCCAAACCCTTTACATTCAGTCTGATAAAGAATCTGCAGGATGTGCCGGAACAAGCCGGGTTCATAAAAGCTTCATCCCAAAGAGTTAAAGCCAGTGTCCACAGGAGACATGGTCATGCCTAAACTGGTAGAAGATGTTCTGGCACGAATGTGAAGTTCTCAGCAGCACCCGGCAGATGGATTAGTGGTTAATTCTGACTAGAACATCGATTCAAATTATGTTAAAGGTGCACAAATGGTTGGATTTTCTTTTTCATTTAGCGTTAACTCTGATAATAATAGATTTATTTCTGCTTTTACACAAAGCTCCAACCAGCTAAAGAATCCCCCCCCCCCCCCCCCCCCCCCAACATTCTGGAGCTATAAACGTTTTTATCCTGAGTCCACTCACATTTTATGAGCGGGATTCAGATTGTGTGAGACGTATAAGCTGGATCGTAACGGTGCATTTGGTCGTAGCATTTTTTGTGTTAAAACTTGTGGTGGAGAGTGTAGGCAGGGCGGTGGTGCAGTAATAAATGAAGGAATGTCACTGTGTAATTGCATGTGCTGTCAGGAAGAGAGGCCCTGTGAGAGGAAACACGGTAAAAGAGAGAGAGAGAGAGAGAGAGAGAGAGCGAGAGCGAGAGCGAGAGAGAGAGAGAGAGAGAGAGAGAGAGAGAGAGAGAGAGAGAGAGAGAGAGAGAGAGAGGTGCACCAAGCAGCTGCTCTGCCCCAGGGCTCTCCCCAGGAATGTAACCCAGTGTGAGGAGCAGCTGCTGGGGCTACACAGGCCAGAAGGGCAGGACTGGCACTAGAGGGTACACATACGGTGCACACGCTTGTGAACACGGTCTCATATCATTGTTGCCATGAGAGCAGAGAGTAGACATCATTACACCGCAGCTGATTTCTTGCAGCTCATTTGATTTTGCGGATTTATTTTTCAGCCGAAATGCCCAAAACACGAAAACATTGGTTTCTTTTTTTCTTCGGTTGCCAAAGTAACTGAAAATAAAGTTTCCTGTCCTACCAAGATAAAATAGTTTCAGGGCAAACTTAAATAAAATGAGATTAAAACATCTTCCAGGTGCTCCACCTCGGCTCCTTTCTAGAATAAACCATCTCAAAATGAATCTCTGCAGATCTGCTTTGTTCACAGTTGCAATTGAACCCCTCCCCTCCTAAATCCCACGCTCTGTCCCTGAACTCTCCAAACGGACAGTTTGTGTTCTGGAGTGTGAGGAGATAGTAGAGGAGGCCGTGGCACCCACAGAGAGAACGCAGAATGGAGCAGTCAGCCTTTAAAGAAGTGGCGGTTTTCTTTAAAACATTTTCAGCATTCCTCTGTCTCTTTTACCATCCTGTCTGCCTCCTCCACACACAAACACACACACACACGCACACACACACGCACACACACACACACACGTGAGCGCTCATATCAGATGATGAAGGATGATGGTTGAGGCAGGGACAGAGCCAGTCTCTGATCTCTCCTGTAACCGCGGCAACAGAGCTCCTATTGATCCTCCGGGAAAAAGGCCAGGCATCAGCTTTCACACACGCACACACACACACACATACAGTAAAAACACACATACACACACTGGAAATAAATGGATATTTTTGTTATAAATTTTAGATGATTGAGATGTCAGTCTGTGATTCTAGAAAGTTTTGTGGCAGCTTAGTAAATAGTACCACAACAATTACGGCTCTAGATTTACATTGGATTATAAAAAAAATGTAGGCGCTATTCAGTGACTTTTAAACTCAAAATTGATGAAACAATTAAGAAATTTTACATATTTAACTTTATTTTCCAGTCATCCATGTTTTCCTTGTGTTTTTTTGTCCCAGGTTCGACATCGCTGGTGTGAGCTAGTAATAAAGCATGCTTACTCTCCAGGTTACAGAGATGTAGAACACTTTCTGATTCATGATCAGGTAAATATGAACATTTTTCCAGGATTTCACAATGAAAGCCTCAGACTGAAGCACAGAGCAGAAACAGGATTTGTGTGTGTGTGTGTGTGTGTGTGTGTGTGTGTGTGTGTGTGTGTGTTGTGCCATGTGTTTCAGGCCATGGGTGTGTATCTTTACGGGGAGCTGATGGTTCGGGAAGACCCTGAGCAGCAGGCTCTGGCTCGCCGCTGCCTGTCATTAGTCCAGGAGGAAATGGACCAATCAGCACGCAGAGTGGTGGAGGAGATGATCCTGTAACGCTGGAGGTATAACATTTAATTGAAGTACTGCTTTTCGTTTATTTTATATTTTTTATTAATTATTATTTAACGTATGTTTTGAGTAACTTTGCTACCTTGGCAACAGCAATAATGAGGTAAAACAAGTAGAATGACGCTCAGAAGGGTTCAGAAATGCAAAGGAAGCCTTTGCAGATGTTCAACTGAACTTTTAAGTACGTCTGAGACTTCATCTCATATCTGACTCTGCAGTGTTTCCTGTGAAAGAACCTTTGTGTTCAATTGATCTTGATCCCATCTGCTCCAACGGGCTGTCCTCATTTGAGTCTCTTGGCTACCTGTGCTTCACATTCCTTTCTGGGCCTGCTGACTGTGTGTGTATGTATGCACTTGTGGACTCTGAAAGGGGCTGTTTGGATTTGTTTGTCACACGAGGAATCTGGGAATTTGCCCCTCGTACGAGCGAGCGAAGGAACACAGAAAAGGAAAGAGAATAGGTCAGTGAGAATTTTTTCTGAGGGGCTCAGGATAGTCTCTGCTCCGTGTCCACCTTAATTATGATCCAGGATCACTCTGAAGGATTACTGTAACTCGAATGAAGGAAAAGATGGTGAAAAGGAAGAAGAGAAGTGAAGCAGTGAAGACAGGTCACATTGATCTCTATTCAGCTTCTAAGCTGTGAAAACGGGAAAGGACACAGGTCGATAATTTAAAGAGCAAGTCACCCCCTGCCAGATTCTTACTCAACTCCCACTTCCTGTTTGAAAAATGCAACAAATGCTGTTGCCTAGCAGACCGGGACGGCGGAGCCTCTAACAAATACACACACTCACAACATTGTGACATCATAATGTACCATCTAACATCATAGTGTACCTCTTAGCCAATAGCGATGGCAGATTTAAATTCAAATGCAGTGCTGAGTTTTTGCATGACAACGGTGCATCGCTGACAGTTTTAGGCAGAATATTTAAATTTTAACTAAGATGCACTAAAGTGCTGAATTATTGACACCATTTGTCTACAGCACAATTGGACACTCATTTATATAGTTTAACGGCAAAAAAATGATGATTTGGAGTGACTTGCTCTTTAAAGGAGATGTTAGTTTGTTATTCTTTTGCCAGTAAGGAGCAACCTTATTCTTTCTAAATACACTAAACCTGTGGCCTCATGTATAAAAACGTTCGCAGAAAAATAAAATTCCTTCCTATGAATAAAATTTAGAATGTTCGTACGAACGGTCAAAAACCTGATTTATGAAACATGCGGTGGCCTCCCGTACGCACGTTCCTCTGCACTTGTCTCATGATAAATCCCACCTGTGTGTACCCAGGTGCTCATGTCTGTTCTCAGTCATTTACATACAGAAATGCCTTCAATTAACCGTATTTGGTCACGCTTCGTCCTCAGCACAGGGGGGGATTCCCTGCGTACTTGGGAAAAAAAAATTATGTTTTTCAGGCTGCCGAAGCGCAAAAGAACCAAACAAGTTAGGTTACGTGGTTGAGACAGAGGAGAGGTTCCCGTCAGGAATAAATAAAAACTTTCATGTGAGACATTGTAGAGTAATGTGTTGTCATTTACATTTTACAATTAAGGAGTCGTTCAGGGTATCTGCAGGTTTAAGGGAGCCAAATTTAAGACTTTTTAAGACCTTTTTTAAGGCCACTTTGAACAAATTTAAGCTATTTAAACAGGGCAGCAGTAGCTCAACAGGTTGAGCGGGTAGTCCAGTAATCGGAAGGTTGCAGGTTCGATCCTGGCTCCGGACAGAGAATTCTGCTGTTGTGTCCTTGGGCAAGACACTTAACCCACCTTGCCTGCTGGTGGTGGTCGGAGGGACTGGCCAGGGCAGCTGTGGCTACATCGTAGCTCATCACCATCAGTGTGTGAATGCGTGTGTGTGAATGGATGAATGATACACTGTAGTGTAAAGCGCTTTGGAGTCCTTACTCTGACAGGCTCTATACAAGTGCGGGTCATTTATCATTTTTAAAAATGAAATTTAAGCTATAATTTCCAGCTATTGCCTGGAAACGGTGCTAACCACGCCGCGATTGTGGGATTAGCCATCCAGTTACAATTAAACTTGCACTTCCCCATGGCGCAAGCTCCCACTAGCTTAACCAGCTAACGTGCTCATCTAAAAATAGCCCCCTTTCACAACCAACTGAATGTGTACGGTTCCGCTTACGCCAATGTCATACACAAAAAATGCTGAACACTAACTAGAAATTCACGAAAATTTTATAGAAATAAAAGAATCTTGTTTATTGGGTCTTCGGTAATTTAAGACCTCTGGAAACTGTATTTAAGGATTATTTTTCATTTTTAAGGATTTTTAAGGCCTTAAATTTGGAAAAGCTAATTTAAGACTTTTTAAGGACCCCCAGATAACCTGTGTAATGCAAAATTCAAAGGTCCATCCCCTTTTCTCCAGACTTCTTTCTTGAGCCACACCTCCAGACTGCAGGAATCCGGAATGCTGTTTTTTTATATTTTCAATCCGTTGTTGGCAGCTTCTCTCCTATAATTCACATCATACTGCACCTAAGTAACCGTATGTACCTATTCAGTAGACTAGCTGATATGGTGTTGCGTTTTTATGATGAAAACAAAACAGTTATTAGCTGTCTTGGTTTATTCCTAATTTCAAAATGACAGCAGTTCAGTGCCATTAACAATCTGGGAAAGCACAACAAACAGGTCAAAACTTCCAGAACCCTTCCTTAAAGAGCAAGTCACCCCCTACCAGAGTATTACTTCGCTCCCACTTCCTGTTTGAAAAATGCAACAAATGCTGTTGCCTAGCAAACCGAGAGGGCGGAGCCACTAACAAATACACACACAGGCTCACAAAGACATTGTGACATCATATGGTACCAGCTAACATTCTAGGATACCTCTTAGTCAATAGCGATGATAGATTTAAATTCAACTGCAGTGCAGTTTTTACCTGACAAAAGCCCAACACTGACAGTTTTAGGCAGAATATTTAAATTTTAACAAAAGTGCAAAACTACTGACTACACGTGTCTGCAGCATGATTAGACATGCATTTATAGTTTTAAAAAGTTGATTTGGGGGTGACTTGCTCTTTAACGTCTCTCTTTCCTCTCTGCCATGGACACCAGCTCCCAACATAAACATGCACGTGTGTAGCCTAGGCATTTGACAGATGGCTCTACCAACCCAATGGACAAGCTGCGTTCACAGACAACAGGTCCGTCACATACACATTTCCCAACAAGAACAGACCCAAACGCTAAACAGAACATATTAAGGAACTTGCAAACAGAATGGAACATTCAGCTTATGACACTAGGCAGCCTGGTTCTGGCTTCACTTCCTGTTCAGCTGCTCTGAGCCGTGAACACACATGGAGTATCAGCAGAGGTCAGATTGATAGATGGATCACGATCCAATCATTATGAACGCTTCAATCAGGAGTTTCTAGAACTGTGTGTTTCTAGCACATTACAATAATAATTTTTTGGGATAAAATATTTAATTTAAGTGAAGAGCAATTCAAGCAATATGATTAAAAAAAGGCTCCAGAAAAACGTCCCATACCTCATCTTTAATAAGAGAAACATCAGTTGTTTTCTCGTTTTGTTATTTTGGGAAAAAAATGTTAGTTAATATATTTTTAGTCTTAGTCTCAAATATGTGAATTTATTTTATTAAATGTATTATTATCCGAATTGGCTCCATAAATTATGGTCAGGAAGGTGTTTGTAAGCGGTGGACACCAGCTGTGTCATGAGCTGCTGCTAAAAACCCGTCCACGTTGACCCGAGTGACTCACAGCTCTAAATCCCGTTTCAGGCCTCAGTCAAGCTGCCACGAGACGGGCTTTTATCTTCGCACGCACAAACAGTTTTATGCATTTGTGCAGGATGTGAAAGGCTTTCTCAACAAGTGTTTGGCATCTGGCTTAGCCCTGATAAATCTCCCCTACACACACACACACACACACACACACACACGCACGCAGAAAGCGATGCACAGCGCCTGTCTGTCTGTCCGTGCTCATCTTCGACATCGTCTGTCGCTCCTCCTCCTCCTCCTCCCGTCGCCTTACGGGTGCAGGGGGAACCAAAAGGAGCACAAGACGAAGCATTCAGAGATTAATATCCCAACTTTTACTGCAGCTTTCCCAAGGCAAGCGCCTGTAAACATCAGCGGATCACACCGGTCATTTGAGATCAGAGATCTCACTCCAATTAAAATGATGGATGAACGAACCTCCTCACTGACTTTTCCTATTGCCCTGTAGGGAGGCGGATTTATGTTTCACTCCTCACTTTGTGTTGGCCTATTGTCCTTTAAAAAAAGATCCCAACCGTCCTTCTCGTCGCCTTTCACAAAAAACACAAAACACACAGTACAGTGGATTATGCTGATTATGCTGGGTGGGTTTACGCTGAAAACATGTCTGTCAAGACCTCCTCCTTTAAATCTTAGAAAAGTAGGGTGGTCTCCTTTAGTCTGTACTGTAATTTTTCTCCCCCGGTGCATGCCTTTGGAATCCCTCTTGATCCGCTTAATGAGGGGCATATCGCCGGGCCAGCCGAGCGTGGCGAATAGGAGACGAGAAGAAGGGTTACCGAGGAAATGGTGTGCGAGAGCAGGGCAGCAAAAGATCTGCAGTTCTGGTCTTTTCACGGCTGAGTTCTGATGGCAGACGTAATTGAAGGGAGGGCAGAATGGAAAGTTTTTAGTTTCAGGATGTTGCAGGTTGGAGGTGCGTGGCGCTGGAGTCCAGAATGTAGGCAGAGTTCAAAAAAACAAAAACCTGGAGAGATCTTGTTCTTTCATGTCAGAGCTGTGAGGGTTCCTGGCGTGCTGATTTGTGACTTATGATAAAATCACATTGCCAGGGATTACCACACAGCCTTGACCCTGCCGGCTGCCATGGCAACCAGATCTGTACACAAACACGCTCTTCACCCACAGAAACGTCAAACGTGGAGACGGCGTGATTACCTAAGGGTTTGTGTAATTGTGTCTGAGGAGTTTGGAAGTGTGAAGAAATGAGGATGATGAGTGTGTGTGTGTGTGTGTGTGCGCGCGCGGGCACACACACCACCGTCTCCTCAGCAGGGTTTTGTATCCTCTCTCCAGCCAGATGCAGAGCTTAGCTGATTGGTGAACAGTGATTGATTTCCTCTTTGTTCACAGTGGCTAAGTTCTGCACCTGAGGAGAGCACGACCCCGGCGAGCAGACAACAGAGAGAGAGAGAAAAGAAATGTGCCGTCAATCTTTCCATTCTTGGCTTTGATTCCCCAACATCCTGTATCCAAAAACTATTTAGACTCGTTCCCATTTTGTCTGTTAGCTCCTGCACCTTAATGCTTCTGCCTCCTTTTACCTGTCTGTGTATAAAATCCAATGTAGATGTGGGGAAAGGTGAGAACTGGGGACTCGCGGTAGTAATGAGGCCTAAAGAGACTCTGTGGCTTGTTATTGGGACCAACGTCGCTTTGGTCAAAACTTCTGGTGGCAGCCGCCGCGACCGTCCTCGTCATCACTGCTCCGCACAACTCAGCAGACTCTGCCCCAGAGAGTCACAGAGAAAAAGCAAGACTTTTCAGCAAATATCTAGCAATCTTTGCCCGTGATGCAACAACCTCCACTGAACCAGCCTGGAGCCTCGTGAGGAAAACATATTTACTCAAACGGCAGGACAAACAACCTCTGTGGCAAACTTTTTTGATAGATTTATAATATTAAAACACCGACAAGCAACACAACACACAATATCAGCTTTAATTTGTATGTTTGACTGCTCCATTGTTGGCTGTGATTTGTGTTAAAAGTCTGAGTTTGTTTTCAGACTAAACCCCTTATTTGTGCTTGGGCTGCATAAGCATGAGGGGAAATCCCACAGCAAGCTGAATTGAGATTTAAAGATCACATGTGTGCAAGCTGTAAACTGGATTATATGGACCTGTTTAGACAATGTACTTCATGCTCAGCCCACACACACACACACACACACACACACAAAGATCTTAAGATTAATGCTAAGAACGGTTCTGTAAGAGAGGGTCAAGTAGGTTGAATATGATAAATGGCCACATTAAGGAATCTGGAATAAATCACTGTGACAGAGAGAGCTCTCCAGCTAATATAGGTACAAAAGATGTAAAGAAAAAAAAAGATCCTGCTAAATCAAAAAGGAGAATATTAAAATTAAACCCCCTTAATACCTCATAAATCTGTTTTTCAGGAAAATGAATGTGCATTTCTTACATATGTATACATTAGATTTGTTCACATGGCTCCCTGTTTTGTTGCATTTTGGGGTGATCTGGGGCCAGGCACAGCCATATGTGAAATCAGACCAGGGCTTAGTGCGAACAAGTTTTTTATTGATTGAAAGATAACGGATGATGACACGCTTTTTCTTAAAAAAAAAGGTTTCTATTCCGAGTTTCCCGTCTGGCTGCTTCGGAGCGTTCTGGACATTCATTATGCTAACTGTTACCACTTATTTGCTGCTTACATATGAGTAGACTTACAACTGAAAAAAAAAAGTTTTATAGGTTTCAACCTCACCGGGTAAATATCTGATCAGGTTGCTGCTGTAGAACCTGTTAGCATCTAATTATCTCATGTTCTTTCCTCTCAAAAATACTACCGAGTTCTTCAGAATTAAGGACTTTTCCTCCAACTCACCTGGCAGCCTGGGATACGGCTGTGGAACAGCAAGGGAACAGAGAGAGATTGACACGGTGGTAGTAAAATAACTTCTCCAAATCATCTTTTAAGCGCTTAAAACACCTGAGGGTCCCAACTTAAAATGACTTTGGCAGTAAAAAGTGCTGCTCAGGCATCCACGGCTGATATGTATTGATTTCTGATCTAATCTCAGCCCGAGGCAGCTGAGCTACAGAGACCCATAAAGCAGACAAGTTCTCACACATTTCCACAATGTGAGGCTAAACAAGGCTGAAGCATTAGAAATGGAAATCTTGGTAGAAATTTAAAGGACCTCTCACGGGTTAGATGCCATTCTAAATTTACTCACCGCGCATGTAAACACACCGAGTTTGTTTTTAGTAATTACATTCCTAAAACAAGCAGTTTCAAAAAGTCCCCGTTTGTGATGTCACAAATGGGGACTTTTTGCATATCATATAAGAATCACCTCTAATGTGCAAGAGAGCTACTATGGGAGGCGTAGTAGTTTTAATCTGAGCCAGATATCAGAGCTTGTCAGCCTATAGACCCCTTAAACGTAACTTTTACATCCAGGTAATAGTGTCTCGTGCTGGAGGGCACAAAGACCCTCTCCATGATTTAAACAAAATAAAAACTAGGCTTTTAGATATTATGTTTATGTATTTAGCAGACGCTTTTGTCCAAAGCGACTTACAAGTGCTAATCGGCATTTTGCCCTTGAGGCTAACAACAACAATAACAACAACAACTTGACAACAGTCATGGAGAGGAGGGAACAAAGGAGTGGACAGTAGAGAGGGGGGACGGGTGCAGGGAGGGTGCTAGTTTAGAAGATGCTCTCTGAAGAGCAGGGTCTTCAGGAGTTTCTTGAAAATTGCAACGGAAGCCCCTGTTCTGGTAGTGCTTGGAAGGTCATTCCACATTTGTGGAACGATGCATGAGAAGAGTCTGGATTGTCCTGAGCGTGGTGTAGGCACTGCTAGCCGACGATCCTGTGATGACCGGAGCGGCCGGGCCGAGACGTAAGCCTTTGCAAGAGGATTCAGGTAGATGGGAGCCGTACCGTCTCGGACTTTGTATGCTAGTGTTAGCAATTTGAATTTGATGTGTGCTGCTAGCGGTAGCCAGTGGAGCTCAATGAACAGAGGGGTGACGTGTGCTCTTTTTGGCTGATTGAAGACCAGACGTGCCGCTGCTTTCTGGACCATTTGAAGAGGTCTCACAGTACAGCCTGGAAGACCAGTTAGAAGGGCATTGCTACGTTAGATCATCTAACACCAATAAAAAACTAATTCATCTTACAGCTAACCTTGTTTAGCGCAAAGCTTCCAGATTCCATTGAAATAGCTAACAGGCTGTAAATGACTGGCCGCTAGTCGAGTACGGGGACATCTACAAACATTTGATACACCTGGACTGTACACAGCTGAAGCAACAAAGTGTAACCGGATGTTTACTGCGTTGAGCGGGTTAATTTTGAAGGATCACCGTAACACAATTCGTCTTAGGAGATTCTCTGTTTATTCTTACGAGCTCAGTAAACAGAAACATAAAGAGAACAACACTAAAGGCTGGGCAGATTTCAGGAGGGACAATTTATTAATAAATGAATAAGTTTTATATTTCACATTCCTGGCAAGCTCAGTAAACACAAAACAAATGACATTAAAGGCTGAATGCTCCAATTACAGAACACATTTTGTGTAATTATGTAAAAAGAAACGAACGTATCCCAGCATACAAGTCATTAGATGGCCTTAACTTGTTCGTGTCACTCTGGAGCATGTGGGGCAGATCCTTGACTTTTTTGTTCTGTCATGAGAAACTCTCTTCATGGCTGTTAACTATTGCCTTCAGCATATTTTATCAGCTGGAAACATATACATTTTTACGTTACTGTCCTTTCGTCTACTTATGCAGCCTACAGCGCTGCATGTGTTAACCATGCTGATTTTGTTTTGAGGCATTGAGCATGTGATGTCACGTGTCAAGGGGTCTATAGCAACCCGAGTGGGGAATGGGTGGGCGTGACTTGCCCCAGCTCAGGGTATCTGCAGGTCTAAGGGAGCCAAATGTAAGACTTTTTAAGACCCCTAAGGCCACTTTGACCAAATTTAAGCTATTTTTAAACATTAAATTTAAGATATAATTTCCAGCTATTGCCTGGAACCGGTGCTAACCACGTCGCGAACGTGGGATTAGCCATCCAGTTAAAATTAAACTTGCACTTCCCCATGGCGCACGCTCCCACTAGCTTAACCAGCTAATGTGCTCACTTAAAATAGCCCCCTTTCACAACCAACTGAATGTGTACGGTTCCGCTTACGCCAAAATCGTACACAAAAAATGCTGAACACTAACTAGAAATTCACGAAAATTTTATAGAAATAAAAGAATCTTGTTTATTGGGTCTTTGGTAATTTAAGAGCTTTGGAAACTGTATTTAAGGATTATTTGTCATTTTTAAGGATTTTTAGGGCCTTACATTTGGAAAAGCTAATTTAAGACTTTTTAAGGACCCGCGGATACCCTGCCAGCTTTTTTCCTTAAGTTATTAAATATTTTATGAATAAAACTGCTTAAATAGCTTTATCTGGAAGGGTTTTTTTTTTTGCAAAGAATTTCATAAACACATTTTCAGCTGTGTTGGTTGGTCGCAGACCGTTACGCAGCCGTGTGTCGCCTGTGGGGGCAAGCAGGGTTGTTGCGCCAGGACCGCTTCGCTGCCGTGCGTTTCCGAAGGGTACTCTCGTAGGTGTGGCACTGGAATTTTAGCCATAGCGCAGCACCACGCCCGAGCCTATGTAGGGGAAACACTGGTATTGCCCACAGAGTTATTATAATTTAAACAGCAAGTCACCCCCTACCAGAGTCTAACTCCACTCCCATTTCCTGTTTGAAAAATGCGCCAAAAGGAGCCGTTGCCTGGCAGACCAAGAGGGCAGAGCTGCTAACAAATATACACACACAGGTTCACAGCAGCATTGTGACATCACATGGCACGTCACAGTACCTCTTAGCTAATAGCAATGGTAGATTTAAATTTAAATGTAGTGTGGAGTTTTTACCTGAAGAGGGCGCGACACTGACAGTTTTAGGCAGGATATTTCAATTAGAACTAAGATGCACTAAAGTTCCAAATTACTGACTACACGTGTCTACAGCACAATTAGATGCTCATTTATATAGTTTATCTGCTAAAAAAAATGTTGATCTGGGGGTGACTTGCTCTTTAAGAAAAGTCAGAATATGTCTCCTTTATCCAAGTTGTATCAGCTGGTTCCACTATTTGCTTAAATGTAAAACAGAGTAATAAAGACTAACATTTACCATAACATATAACAACGTATATTCTGCTTTACATTTGTCCAACTGGGTTTACTGGAACCAGTTGACATAATTCAACATAAAAAAATTCTACATTTCTTTCCTTAAAGTGTAGTCAGGAAAGAAAAAAAACCTCATTACAGCTAAGTGCACCCAAGATTTTGCTATCAGCAGCTGGACTGTGTGCTAAAACCTGAGTGACTGGGACCCCAGAGTGTAAAATACCGGCCCACGGTAATTTACAGCAAACCCTCGGCAGCATCACGGGTGCAGTCTGCCAGAATCACCTCTTTAACAAGCTCTCTGTAATGCAGATCTACGCGATCCTGCTCCCTTGTCAAAACCCTGACAGATGGCTGAAAAATAACGAATCTCAAATTTTTTTTTAGAACATACGCCATGAGAGGAGGCATTACAGCGCTCTATATTCTCAGCGACAAAGTGACGACTAAACGAGGACAGATGTGTGAATTAGAAATGATGGCCATGTGGAGCTGGCCATTTTTAGACCTATATTTAGGGCCTGTTAAAAGAGTAATGACTATCAACGGCCTATAAAAGGGAGGAATCGCCATCAGAGCCTGTATCTAAAAGGTGATTTATTACACTCTAATGAGATGGAAATGGTTCCCCACACATCAAAGGATAAAGCAACGTACTATGAAGGCTCCTGAAAATAAACTTATTTTCTCCACAAAATCCACACCTCCTCATGCGTGTTTAGTCAGACTAATTGTCTCTTTAATGCCAAGTGTGGTTCAAAGAACTGCTGAGTTGGATTCTGTTTCAAAGAATCTGCTGGCAACGCCTGTGGTCTGAAGTAAGGCAGGCAGGACGCAAGTTCTGGAGGAATGGGATTCATATTTCTGTCATGCAGTCGTTTTTCTTGCTGATTTTACACCAGTATTCTCAGATCGCTGGATGCAGCGAGCTTCCAGTACCCCCTCTTTCACCCACTGCAGAAAATGAACGATCCTTCTTTCTTTTAAACTGCTTTTGTTGTATTCTACACACTTGGAAAAAAAGAGGAAGGTTAGTTAGGTTCACTGCCAAGAGACGTATTGAAGGGCTGGGATTCCTGTGCCTACTGAGCTGATAATCAGTCCTACAGAACCACTGGCTCAGTTCAGCAGGAACAGGAGTCCAGTCTGCTCACCACCAAACCAGAATGTTGTGGCCACCAGCTTGGCCACTTTGGATGCAGGAGCCAGGATCGCCCAGCCCCGGTGATCAGCCAGACACCGCCCCTCCTCCTCCTCCTTTCCTCCAGGCTGCTCAGGAGCTCGGCCGAGACGAGTCCCTCTGACGACCAACACCTGGGATAAAAAGGCCGTGCCTTCAGCAGTGCAGGGGTTCTGCTGTCCTCCAGGCCTCAGAGTTTGGTTTCACCCCCTTCGTTTAGATGAGTTTGAACTCTTGAGTTGATGAGTTTTTTAAAAATGAAAGCTCTGAGTGATCCAGAGGGATTGTTTTAAAGGTTAACTTGGTGATGCAATTTTGTTGACTTTGGTTTTAAAACACCTGTTTTGGTAAAACATTTAATGCAAGTTTTAACCAGATGTTTTAAATGTTGGTAACTGGTCTTTTAATGTTAACCTTTTTGAGAATTTTTTTTTTGTTTGGCGTTATTTTAATAATGCTCTCCATCTGTTTGCTCGCTTGTTTTAAGACCTTTAATGGCAATTAAACCCATTTTTAATCCACTGTCATGTTTCTTATGTTACCCCCTCCCTTCACATTTTAACAACACATGTTGGGGTTGTAACATAGAAACTCTTCCCAACAACCAAAGTGTTTGCTTTATAGATGGTAAAGGGTAAAATGCCTTCTCCAGGTCAGAGACGAGGTCCTGCCTCAAATGGAGGCGAGTATTGTACAGGTCCGTCTCCCTCCAGTTGCCTTCACTCAAACCCCTTTGGATTACCATGACCTGGATGACTGAGAACCTTCACCAACATATCTGTCTTGCCTTCCAGCTCCACTCTCTCTTCACAGGTCGGTCTATGGTCCAGCCCTCATCTATGGTCACAAGCTTTGGGTAGTGACCAAAAGAATGCAGATACAAGCGGGCGAAATGAGTTTTCTCCGCGGGGTGGCTATCCTCTCCTTTAGAGATGGGGGGGAAGAAGCTCAGTCATCCAGGAGGGGCTCTGAGTAGAACCGCTGCTCCTCCACACCCAGTGGAGGTGGCTCAGGCAGCTGGTTGGGACGCCTCCCTGGTGAGGTTTTCTGGCCACATCTAGCCAGGAGGAAACAGAGGGACTGTGTTTCTCAGCTGGCCAGGGAACACCTTGAGATTCCCCCAGAGGAGCTGGCCCAAGTGGCTGGGGAGGGGGGAAGTCTGGGCCTTTATGCTTAGCCTACTGCCCCCGCAACCTGACCCTGGATAAGCCAAGGAAAATGGATGGATAGATAAGCTGGTGCAAGACTGGATTGACTAGAAATTGATCATTTTGACAATCAATAGATAGGAGACGTCTCAAGAGATGCAATGTGTGTGTGTGTGTTTACGAGTTATACACATAAACACACACACAGCTGACAGCTGAAATCAGACTGTTTATCGGGTGTGTACTTTAGAGGGTAGATTTGGCCAAAACTCAGTGAGATGAGCAGATTTTTTTCTTTTTTTAAATGGTTTGAGGATGATTATGCCTATTTACCCACATTTAACAACCATGTTGTTTACTTGCAAAAGTTTTGAGAAGGGGGACATTTTGATGAAGTATAAGTACACAATGAACCAAAAAAAAGCTTTGTAAATCTGTAAAAATGTAATACATATGATAAATTCATAGTTTAATGAATCTAGTGATTGAACTTCATGGATTAAAGATGAAAAAACTGAACAATTTCTCCGATAATAAGTCTCAGTCAGACTTGTTTATCTGGACGTATTCAGTGTTTGGCCTCACATCAGGGGAAGCATTTTAAACAACCAAATGATATGTAATCCTCCCAATCTGTGTGTACCCTCTCTTTTCTTCCAGGTTTCAGACGGTGGATGGAAATGCTGGTCGATCCATGGTCCATCCCTCACCTCCTCGTTCTCAAGGAGTCCAGAAACACCAGAAGGCTGCATTCAGACTCTACAGCCAACTGGAGAGGTTCGGTCCAGCCAAAGCGCCAACTACAAGCTGTTGATGAAGACATCGTTGTCAGGCAGAAATATCCCATCTTTCCACCCATTTCTGGTCCTGTAACGGCAAAAGTGGATTTCATGGATAAAAGCCTGGTGCCTCAAGTCACGTTTAAGAATCTGAGCTGCTGTGTTTAAGTTGATGCTGTTTGTGTAGGCGTGTTTAAGGATGAGTTCATGTCTGTTTAGTCTGAAATCAGGATCTTCATCTTTGGAGCCGAGCCTGGAAATTCTTTCAGGTACACAAGTACTTTTTATTACAAATGATCTAACTCCGGTTTGCAAATCATGGAAAAACATCGCCTCTCAGGGTATTTTTGCTGTCTGAGGTTAGATTTTGTGAGTGTTTTGCAACAATAATTTGATCCTTTAATGTTGGAATAAATATGTTTACATAAAATGCATTTTAGTCTTCTTTTAAATGCATTTCATCCATCCATCATCTGAACCCGCTTGTCCACGTAGGGTCGCGGAGGGGCTGGTGCCTATCTCCAGCGGTCAACGGGCAATCAGGCGGGGTTCACCCTGGATAGAGAGCCAGTCCATCGCAGGGCAACACAGAGACACGCAGGACAAACAATCGCACACACACACTCAATTTAGACAGTCATGGTTTGGACTGTGGGAGGAAGCCGGAGGACCCGGAGAGAACCCACGCATGCACATGGAGAACATGCTAACTCCAAGCAGAAAGATCCCAGGCCGGGAAGCGAACCCAGGACCTTCTTGCTACAAGGCAACAGCTCTAACCACTGCGCCACCGTGCAGCCCCCTAAATGCATTTCATCTATAAATAAATAAAAATAATCTTCAGTTCTTTTCATTGCACAACTTATGTATTTTATAGCCGCGACCATAATATCATGGGTGTATTTTCATCTAAAGTTCTGCAAAATGCAATTACTAAGAGAGAAGGCTGATATCTGAGATTCCTCCAAATGTAATCATGGATTAATATCTGATGCTGTTGTTTCAAGAAAGGTGAAAATTAATCATCTTCTATTAGAATAAGAAGCTAAGTTAATGTGAGAGTTAAAATAAGTTGTTTGATGCATCACAGTTGTGCTCTCAAAGAACGAATGCTCTTCTAATCAAAAATCTTATTTTGAACTTTAGGTTTTATAATTTTCAGGTTTCAGCCACGGAAGGGAAACCAGTTGCTGTCTTAGTTTGCATTAAAATTAATTTTCTTCAGATTACAGACAGCTAATGTCAGAGATTCTTCTCAAAGAAAATAAAGTGGAATAGATGGAACAGAGTAGTTGCCCTTTGATTAATATCGTTTTAATTTTCTAAGTTAATAAGTTGATTTCTGACCCTGAAACCCAACTTGGTAATAATGTGTTGTAAACATTTTTTATCTGATGTAAAACTTTCCTTGTTAATAAAATTGTATGAATGCATTCTAATCCTCATTAAAGCGAAGTTATAAAGAACAAGAAATGACATCAAAAACATGGAAAACAACAAAAGAGGCTTCTGTTTTTATTCATGTCGTATACGAGTTCATTAAAAGGCCAAAACACAGCTTGTAGAAGCACCTGCACCATGAGGCAGGCCTAAAGTTGTGGACCAAATTACACTTGTAAGTAGCTTCTGCTTACAAATAACATAGTTAAATACAATTATTCAGTGTTTTAACCTGCAGAAATAGCACCAACACGGGCTTTCCTGCGTTTTCTCCTCCTCTAAGCCTGTCGTGGACTCGTCTGGGGCCGCTGAAGGAGGAGGAGCTTCAGTGAGTGGGAGGAGTCTGACACGTACGAGCCACTGCTGCTGCTTCTTTACAGCGTCATCTGTCACTGCTCAAGTGTCCTTGTGGACCTTGTAGTTGCCTTGCGCGCGCGCATGTGTGTGTGTGTGTGTGTGTGTGTGTGTAAATGTATCCCTTCTTTTGTACTGTAATCTGCCTTTGCTGTATTGTTTTAGCATCCTCCTGCCATCATGCAGCAGCACAGCTCCACAACAGTGTAGCTGTGTGACCGTCAGGAGAACGTATGGCTTACTGCTTTACTTTGTGTGTGTGTGTGTGTGTGTGTGTGTGTGTGTGTGTGTGTGTGTGTGTGTGTGCACGCGCATACCTCTTAATTCATTTGCGTTATTGTCTTCTGAAGTTCTCTGATCCTGAGATGAACATCGCCACTCTTGAAGCAGCTTCCTTCCTGAACTCTGAGATGCAGCGAGCTGAGAACACATGCTGCTCCATCACGCAGACCAGACAGATCCACCACCTCGAGAGACAGACACACACACACACACACACGTAACAGTAAAATCAACAAGTCTGTGGGCTTGGACAGGATGAAGACGCTTCGTCAGATAAAGCATTTCAAGTCCGGTCGCTCTGATTTATTTTTTTCTGTTAAGTAGAAATAATTTGGTAAAGCGCTCAAAAAGCACTTTTCATCTGTAAACTACTGAGAACAAAAAGAACCGAGAGAAAATAATTTGTACAACCCACTTGTTGCTCAAGTCCACTTAAAAAGATTACCACTCAAAGTCAAACAAAGATAAAGGGAATGGCTGAAAACTTCTGCACATTTTTGTGCAAGCGTTCAAAGTACAGTGATCCCTCGTTTATCGCGGTAGATGCGTTCCAGACCTGGCCGCGATAGGTGAAAATCCGCCAAGTAGGGACACCATATTTACAGTATTTATTTAACCGGCACGTATTCAGTATTCAGACTTTTAAAACCCTCCCTTTACATAGAAAAAAAATGTACTTGGTTTTTTTTATTATTTTATTACAAAAAGTGCATTTTATGATGAAATTGATGGGAAAAAAAAGGAATTTCTTGATATTTCGCATAGAAAAATACAGCGAATCGGCAAATTTCCCTTGAATAAGGCTCCAAAGAAAAAATCCGTGAAGTCGTGAATCCGCGATAAACGAACCGCGAAGTAGCGAGGGATCACTGTAATATGTTTATTCTGGCCTTACTCCCGGGCTTTTAGCAATCTTATATTTACTCAGATGCTTTTTTTCCCCTTTCAAATTTTAAGCTAACCAATCAGGACAGAGTATAGGTCAGTATTTAGGGGGAAAACGACTCCTTAGCATGCAAATGAAGTATGATAAACATTTTAAAGACTACCGTGCCGTTTTGGCTTTCCTTTAGCACCCCCTAGTGTCCATGAAGTAAAACCAAAAGTGAAACTCTTCTCACTGTGCGTTCCTCTTTTGAACACCTTAATCTATCTGCTGAAACATCACCTCAGCCTTAATTAGTTTCTACAGGAGTGATTCATTACTAAGTTACACAAATCAGCGGAGTTCATCATGATCTAAAACATGCAGCTGACATGCTGGAAGCAGACGCCAGCGCTGCCATGTCAGCTTCACTTTTACAAAGTCCAACAGGGACCGGACCGGCACACTGAAGTTGCAAGTGCTGTTTTCTGGCCAGAGACAGCAGTGGGGTCTATAGTTAAAGTGACAGTGTGTATTTTTCTGGCAATAGGGTGAAGTAGATACCTAAAGAAGGGTCAAAAAGCCCTGGGGAGTGCAAAGTTGAGCAAAATAAGCTCATCAGACCCCCTCTCATCACTGGCAACAAGTGAGGATGTAAATGTGAAAAACAACGTTTAAGAAACCCTTTCTAACCGTTTGTTACAAATCAGTAAAATGCATTTTGTCCTCATGGGCTTCTGTAGAAGGAAACATGGCGTCTAATATGGCGTTGCCCAGAGACGTAGAGCCGCTCCCATGTGTTTTAGACATGATTTTTATGGTTATATGTTATAAAAACGGCAATATTTTTCAACAACTGGGTATCATTTAATACATTTTCAACAACATTTTGATGGATATTTCCAGAGATTAATGGTAAAAGCTACACATCGTCCCTTTAAAGTTTCTAACTAGTTGTAAAATTGGTCAAGTCTGTTCTTATATATTTGACAATAATGTCCAATTAAATAAGCTAAAAAACACAACAGGAGTTAATAAAAGAACACTTCCAGCTGTTCATCGTGTTTGCCAACGTTCTATGTGAAATCTTTAGTTCTTCTGACTGAAGAGTTGTATCAATTTGTTGCACATCTCTCAAAGATATCACCAAAGGTTTGGTCGCAAAAGGACCTAAGAACCTGTGGAGTAATGACGACTAAGGGAAGGAGAACACTCATCTCACCGTCTGTAAAATACTTGCTGATACGTTCAGTTTTAGCCGGCAGAAAACGGCAAAATGAACCAAGAGGTCGAGGGTCAACGACGGGGCTGGTGACGGCTGCTGAGGTTTGACTGACAGGAGGGTGATTAATGGCTGCAGGTGGGCAGCAGGAACAGGAAACACGGAGGCGGAGAAAAGAGTGTGCAGGTGGTCCCACGCTTCTCTGACCCGTACCTGGCAACAAAAAAAGACAAGTACCTTTCAATAAATATCAATAGATTAGTAATTCATGAAGATGATAAGGGGAGGCCAGCCCTAAGCAAGACAAACGTGTGCTTGTGCCGGGGCAGCAGCAAGACTCTGAGGTTTTATGAGGCCAGGCGGACAAACCAGACACACAGAGACGTAACACGGCCCGGCCGGCCAGACATTCACTGGGAAATCAATACTGCATCACCCAGCTCCCTTGGCTTATCTGTGCCTCCCTCTCCTCACCATTGTCTGCCTCTCAGATGTGGGGTCATCCATTATTTACTCTTTAATGTATTCTTTCTCCTGTCTCTGCTCTTTGGTTTTCAACAGCAATGCACCTGACTGCAGCGAAAAACAGACCTTCCACACATTTCCACTCTTGAGTTATGACGCCGCGTCGACCAGATGAGATTTCTTCCACATTGTGTCCTCTGGCCTCACAAAACAAACGTCACAACTTTGTTGTTCTTTATGATTTAGCTCCTGCAGCGCGACATAACACAACTAAAGCTGCAGAGACTCATAACTCTTCCTGGAACAAAGCTGTCTGAAACAAAGCTTGCAGCCATTCATCCAATTAGCAACAGTTAGGAACAAAGTGAAGCAAAAAAAAAAAAAAAGAGTAAAGTTTTTTTTAATGTTTTTTTTTGTGGGTCTTACCAGCTGCAAAGCTCTCTGGTGCCACTTGTTGGTAGGGTGATGGTAGAAAGTCAGAAGCCACAGAAGGGGATCACGGTCCTCAGGTTTTGATGTGACGAGCAGCTGGACCGCCATCTGCACCCAGTGGGCACACTGCACAAGCAGGAACCAGGCCTCGAACAAATGGTGGCGCCCTCTGCAGGACAAGAGGAGAAGTAGCGCCCCAAACTATAAGTAGCTAATAAAATATTTAGTGGAATTTGTTGGTAAAAATTGAAATATTGAAGATGCATTATTATGCTAGCTGGTTCCAAGTTGAAGCGCACAGATCCGAGCAGCAAACAAAGCTGTAAACAGCTCACAACGCGGGTGGTTTGGGTGGTCTGTTAAGTTTTTTAACAGCCTGGCACTTAACCAGTCCTAGTCTCAGTTTTTCCATCATAAACTGTTCCGACAACCAGCTGCTGAAAACTGCAACTCATAATTGGATTTCACAATTCACACGCAGACTTCTGTCCTAACACCAAATAAAAGCAGACAATAAAGAACAGGGCCAGTGCTGCAACACGCCATGTGCCATTTTCATCACAACAGGCTTTCAAATGCAACAAGTAAAAAAAAAAAACTCAGTAACTGCATCGCTCTGACCTAAAAAATGATCAGAGTCAACGTTTGGTTTGTCTTCTTGTATACCAAATACCTCATCTAAAAACAACTGCAATGGTTTTGTCACTTTAGAACTGAGAACACTTTCATGAAGAGAACATGCTCTAAAAGAACATCATTGCAGCTTCTTCTGGGGAGAAAAACACTTAAGAGAAAAAAATCAATTTAACAGCCAAAAAAGCTGGAAATAATACAGTTAAAGAGCAGATTGTAGAAGAAAGTAGTCGAGTGTGGAAAGTGGTCAGTGTGTCCTCCAGCAGTCTAAGCCTATAGCAGCATAACTACAGAGATAACTCTGGATAACCTAGCCTTTTAGATGGAGGCAGGGCAAGGGATAATAAGGGCTACAAATCAACCACTTACCATTAATTGCTTGACATTTGAATCGAGGACACAAAATTAGTCCTGCTGAATGAGAAAAAAACTAAATAATTATGTCTTTGATTCAAGCTTCTGGTAATTAATGGTAAACAGTTGATTTGCAGCCCTTATTGCTAATTTAAATACAGAAAAACACACATTCATGAGTTTCATGGACTGTAACATAACCTCAGATTTGAAAACCAAGCGTGCTGTGACAGAAAAAAAGAGCTACACAGCTGCAACAGGGAGAATAACTTGAGGACTGAAGAGGAGTGCTTGTTCTCTCAGATTTCCTCTTTACCATCATTAGCGCTCCCCTCATCTCCATCCCTCCCCTTCACATACCAACAGCAGCAGTCCTCTGCAGGGCTTTGGCAGCAGCAAGACAACAAACTAGTTTCCCACCGCCGGCTTAGAACTCCGTTCCGAGATTCTGCATGCAGCTTCAAGACTCGGAACGCTGGTAGGGATAATGGGCCTTGTTCAAAACCGCAGCTGGGGGGACTCAAGTCAACCATCTCCATCTTTAGGACATCAACTGTGTTCTGTATCTGTGTTCTTTCTATCCACTTTTTTTCTGAATTAGCTGAACCAGAGCAGCTCTGTCTGCTCTTCTTTCCATGCCAGTGTGGTGTTGTTACTGTGCAGGCACTCCCTGCTCTTTGATTATCCTCTTTTCTTACTCTTTCTTGAGCTTCCCAGAGTCTGCTTTCTCCACAGGGCTCCTTTTGCCCATGTTAATGTTCCCTAATGAATGCTCGGAGAAGCCGCACTGTGCTCCAGGAGCTCTCTGCTAAGATACAAGGGGAAAAAATTACCGAATAACCACCGGCTCAAGAGCAGCTAATGGAAATAAGAATACCGCGCAGACGTTCAGCATGCTGGCAGAAGCAGACACATTAGCACATTTTACCCGGGGAAGCTTTCTCTCTCTAACCTGGTGCTGCAGCCTTCGTCTCCATCCTCTGCCAGTCGCTGTAATGAGCTGCTGAGCCACTTCAGGTGGTTATTTAAAGCCTCCTGAGGCATCTCTGAAAGACAACATCCGTAATACTGACATAATCAATCCATACTAGGGATGTGTATTGCGATACATTCAGTCAGACAGTATTGGCGATTTTTTTTTTACTTTATTTATTGTAGGAACATTCAATAAGCAGTCCAAACTAATACTTAACATGTTTAACATGAGGCATCTGAACCATAACAGAGGGATTTATATTTCAATGGTGGAAACAAAACCCATCACGTACTGCTGCGTCGGCATATGAATTATACCAAAAGAAAAGAAAAGACAGAAATGTTTGCATGTAAATTCTTCTAAAAATTAGATAGACGGCTTTTGAATATCGATATAAAATTGCAGGAACAAATATCACAATATATTGCCATATCAATATTTTCGATACGCAGCTTTTGAATATTGATATATCGCTGGAAAAAATATGATGACATATTGCCATATTGATATTGCCTTACATCTCTATGAAATATGATACAAAAACCTTTTGTACAGTTGGTCAGTATTTGCAAAAATCACCGGAGTCTGTATTGGGGTGGGGAGGGGGGTGGGGGGTCATGGCCAACATAAATTGGTATTGGTTTAAGAAATTAAAGCAATGTACACGTAGCCATGTTTTTGTAAAAAAATGTAAAATCTGCCCCTAACGTCTAGGAAAAAATATTGGGTCCACATCACCTCGTTTCGGCAAAATAACAAATGCTATGCAATGTGTATTGGGAGGCCCACTCAAAGGCATGCCAAGCCTGTGGGTGGCAGTAGTTCCCAAGTTTGTTGGTGTTTTTGATGAAAAACATTCCTGTGATGTGGAATGACTAGGTGGTGGGCAACAACTGGTCTTCTTGTAACTGAGCTTGTAACACAAGTGAGTGTACATGTGATGCCAGTGCATTTTTGTCGAGGATGGGGAGATTACAAAACCTAAAACCCCAGTTATTTACATCCGAACAACGGATATTTTGCAAATCTGAGATCTCCACTTTGATCAGAGTTTTTGAAAGAATTAGTTTTTGTGCCTTTTAACTTCACTTTGTGTGGATGTCCAAACTGTAGAAAAACCTCCAATATGTGGTATACCTGGCTGCATTAGCCAACATCGATATATTGGATATCAGTAAAAACAAAAAAAAAAGCTGATATCACACATCCCTAATTCTAACCAATTTATTCCACTCTTTATGCCTCGCCTCTGTCAGTGCGCCCTAGTGCAGCTGTGGCTAATCGTAGCTCATCCCCACCACCGTGTGAATGTGTGCGTGAATGACTGTGCTGTAAAGCACCCTGGGGGGGGGGGGGGGGGGGGGGGGGGGGGGGGGGGGGGGGGGGTCCAGGACTCTAGAAGGCGCTATATCAAATACAGGCCATTTATGCAAATAGTTTTTATATACAATACCAATAATTCACCTATTAGAAAAAAAGCTGTAACTGTGTTTCATTTAATTATTTTTAGATAATTTAGATTAATTTATCAGTGATGTCTTTTGATTTTTGCTATGTAGTATTATTTTCACATAAATAAAAAATTATTACTAATTTTTAAACTAATGATAGTTTTAATCATCTAATCTGAATTAACCTCTTGAGACCCAGCGTCCACAAATGAAGACATTTGTTTCTCTTCACCTTAGACCTTTTTTTTATCATTTAGAGACACTTGGCATTGACTTTAAAGGGGAACTAAGCAGTTTCGGCATGCTTTGCACTCCCTAATGTCCATTCAGTATAACAAAAAGCAGAACTTATCTCCTTGCATGTTACCACCTTAATCTAACAGCAGAAATGTCTCCCCAGCCTTCATTAGTGTCTAGGTTTTAACGTTGCAAATCTGCAACGCCTGCCTCCAGAGGGTTAAGTTATTGCCCCCCCCCCCCCCCCCCCCCCCCCCCCCCCCCCCCCCCCCCCCACACACACACACACACACACACAAATCCCCAGCATCTACTTCTAATCACTTTCAGAACCAGATTGGTGTTTGCTGTACACCCCATTCTCCAAAAAATACTGTCCTGCCACAAGCCAATGTTCCACTCCAACCTCAACAAGTTGACATTTCAGAACAACAAACAATGTTAAACAAATATCTCCAATCCCCCCAGGCTGTGTATTAAAAATGCAGAGCTATATCTATATTTATGACTCATTCTGAGGAAGCTGCCACCTCCATTCTTTCCCTTTTTTATTAACAGTATCATATTCATTCACTTTCTGGTGAGAAATACACACACACACACACACACACACACACACGCGCGCGCGCGCGCGCGCGCACACACACACGCACGCACGCACACACACACACACACACACACACACACAGTGTAATGATTAACTGTGAATTCTGGCCGGTCGTCACAGTGTCCCTAAATGGCTCTATTCAAGTCAAAGATTCCTGCCTACAGGCCAGTCTGGGCACACACTGATAAGCGGCGCTGAAACGTGATCTTCTTGGTCTTAATGTGACGCAAACTCAGTCAGAGATTTCTTAAATTATATTAAACAGTTTGTGTGTGTGAATAATATAAAATGCTTAAAACTACATTACATTTGATTCTTGTGCATTGTGGCGTAGGACAAATACACTGACCTGATGGCATGGTTAGCAGAGGAACAAGCAGACTCGAAGGGGATTGTGGGAAGAAGTCTTTTAAAGAAGTCTAAAACAACACAAAGCACATTTTTGGTTAGATTAATCTGACGTTTCTCAACCTGTGGGCTCTACAAACTCCTCTCTGAAAGTATCATTTCTCAAAAGGAGCCTGTGTAATGGTGATACAGTAGATGTGATTGTGTAATGCAGCGTGTAATAGGAGGCATTTGGCATGTAGTGGCAACGGGTCAGTGTGAACACACGGTGCCACTGCCATCTACTGTTTAATGGAGGTGAAAAAGGAATCGGCTCCAAGCACAAAGCTGATAATATATCACAGCTACAGAATTGCACATCTGATTTTTCTGTTTTTAGTATTATTATTACTAATGAATAGCACACCAGTGGCAGATAATTGCAGTTGCATCCATTAAAGATGACTAACTGGATGACAAATTAAGAGAAGTGGCAGTTTTTAGAAAGAGAACATATTTGCACATCAGAGCAGGTGATTAACATGGACAAAGAGGTTACACTAAAGCCACATTTTATTGTTTTAAGTGAAAATCGAAATGAAATTAGTCTAAGCAGGAAATTTGTTAACATTTTATAGGTGTGTTATTGAAATTGGCCCAAAAAATTTGCTTTCTCTTTGTACAAATCTCTACAGGCTGCACGGTGGTGCAGTGGTTAGAGCTGTTGCCTTGTAGCAAGAAGGTCCTGGGTTCGTTGATTGGTCTGTCCAAATTGTCCTTAGGTGTGTGTGTACATGATTGTTTGTCCTGTGTGACTCTGTGTTGCTCTGCGATGGACTGGCTCTCTATCCAGGGTGTACCCCGCCTGATTGCCCGTTGACCGCTGGAGATAGGCACCAGCGACCCCGGGTGGACAAGTGGGTTCAGAAGATGGACGGATGGACAGATCTCTACTTTACTCCCTTCCAAAGGTCCCTAGATCATTCTAATGTGAAACTTTATACAGTGATCACCATAGATTTTTAGCCTTGCCAGGAGCTTGAAGACTTGACCTCCATTCAAAAGTGTAGCTTTCATTTTTTTAAGTGTTTTTCTTTGCTTATTTGAAATTGCTATCTGTTCTTAAAGGGAAACTAGGCAGCTTTGTCTTGCTTCTAATGTCCATTTGTAGAACTGAAAGCAAAACTTTTCTCGTCACTGTGCATGTGTCTTTTTAACAACTTAATCTAACAGCTGAAATGTCTCCTCAGTCTTCATTAGTGTCTACAGGGGTGATTCATTACTAAATTAAACAAATCAGCTGTGTTCATGATCTAAAACATGCAGGAAACGTGCTGGAACCAGACTACAACACCAGGTATGTCAGCTCAATTTTTACAACAGACCGGAGCGGCAACTCTGAAGTTGCAGCCGGTGTAATATTCTGGCCGCAGGGAGATATAGTGGCTGTGCGGCCTTTAACCCTGTAAAGGGTCATTTTAGTACATACTGGCGCAACAGAATCATTTTAAAAATACGCAAAAGTTGCAAAATGTCCCATTAAATATGTGAACTCTAGAGCATCGAATCAGTTTAAAAACTACAATCCAGAGTTAATCCCCTTTCAGGAATTATGAACTAATCCGTAAACGTCTTACTCTGTACTGTGAGATAATGTGGGCTATCCTTCATTTCCTTTTTGCTAAGCCCATCATTGTCCCATAGAGCCCAATGCAATTTGAACTGACCACCGTTCAGCCTTAGCCAATAATGTTCAATATCCGCTTACAGTTCACAGCTGTCAGTGAGTGCACGAGTGTTTAAGGGCGTGCGTAGACTGATAAGAGTTGGCGAAATTTCTTGTGGACAAGTAAGTCTTCAAAATAAGTATATAAATTTATAGACTTAGCAGCAGCAAATCTACAGATGTTCCATATCAGTCTATCACACAGTTGCTTAAAAAACTACATAAATCTAAAGAACATTCAAAACAATTAAAATAAATGAATTAGGCAGATTGCTTCTCTACGGAAGGACAAATATTCATATAAGACCTTTGTAACATAAAATGGCAAAGACTGACCTGAGGCTGCAGCAGCGACAATTCCCTCAAGACACACCTGGTTACAGTCTGAACAACAGATCTAACAGGCTGACTTGTTTCATTCTGTTTAAGAACGGATCTGTCAAATGTACAAATACACAGAATTAGAAAGCATTTTAAAACATTTCACACATGAGAAAAACACACAACAATAAATATATTTAGTTTAAAATGCACATTCAACACTTACCTGAAGATATCGCTCACAACTAAGAAAAGTGAACAATGTTGAGCACAAGCTTCAGGCTGTAACACACAAAAATACACGTCTCAAAAGCTATGAACTAAACACAGCTCAAAAGGAACAAAACTCAGAAAAATACTTTGTTTTAGGAGAAAACCACCAGGTGCCGCTGTCGGATTATTTTGGAATCCTTTTAAATCTCCGTTGATCCATTTTCACTTTCTCACCATTAAACTGTTCACCACTCTGTCAGACGTCTTTAACAACACCCACACACTCATCTCCCATCCTCGTCTCTTCTTAAGCCACGCTCGTCATGTGTTTTAGATTGATTAACACATTCTAAAACGCCCCAGCGCAAACATTTAACAGCTGTACTGTGTATATCTCACATTCCCTAATTATCTCCCCCTCAACATGCAGCTCATAGAAGGCCATGTGCTTTACTCTGGAAGGACCACAAGCCGTTTAACCATACAGGCTTTCCACCTGCTGAGCGGTACAGTAGTGGAATGATTACAAAGAGAAACAGAAATGACCCACTTTTTCTGTTTATCTGACTTACTAGCAGCCGGTTTAGAGGCTCTTATTTGAGTCAGCAGTTAGGAATGTCCCGAGGAAGAGTGGTGTGTTGGTCCAGCGGTTGGTGTAACATTTAACTGACAGCATGAGGTTAAACCTGAGCAGTAAAACTGGTTTTATAAAAGAGTGGCAAACAGTTTTCTCCAGTCCAGGTGTGACTGTAGTTAGAGGGGGGAAATTATAAAACAGTGCCACCAAGTGTTTACATCATGCAATTACAACATCAATATTTTCCTTCCTAATTCTGAACATTTTCTCCATTTAAACTCGGATTACACATCTGTTCGTGCATAAGGATGCACATCTGCATCCTTGTATCATGTAATGCCTGTGTGTGAGTTATGGATTGATGGGATAAAATAAGAGCGTGTTTTAGCATTCTCCTCCATACAATACCAGTATTGCTTCAAGGAGGGTCAACAAACATCCTGCTTTTTGGCATTGCAGACCCAGGAAGTGAGTATTAATTGTTATGGGGCTTTCTCACTGGAAGGGTGGGAAGGGCCAACCTGAGGGTTATTTTTTTTTCATGTTTTGACATCATTTATTGAACAAGGGACAGGCCAGTTTGGTCATATTTCCACCTAAATCACTCTCAAATACTATACCAGATTGAATATGGTAATCAAAGGCTTGCTGACTGTGGTTTGAATGAACACATGAGCACATGAGCAAATAAAAAGAATCAGAGGTGGATGAAAGGGTAAAACAAAGGTTTAGCAGTTCTTACAAACTCAACATGACACAGTCCAACACAATCATCACATGTATGTAGTGTATTTAATTAAAATGCACGCAAAACAGTGTGTTTCAGTCTATCTTAATTAGTGAGACTGGTTCCTAAACTCACAATGTGTGTTTCACAACGTAAGTGGACCATCACCCAGGGTAAAATACAGCGACACAACTGACAAGCTTAACCCAAGTTGGTGGGTGCAAAAGGCAGGTAGGTTCTCATCTTCCTGCTTAGGTTTCTAAGCATTCATAGCTCCTAAGGAAAATGAAACCGGTAACATAGGTAAACAGGATATTCTTCATAACATGTGCACAAGTAAATGTATTGCGTTGAACAGATGATTGGCAAAAGCAAAATCAAGAAAGTTGGTCTAACTTTGAGAAAGGAACAGATTCTAGTAGATATTTATTTGGAGGATTTTGGTGTATTTTTGTGCTAGTGATATATTTATTTCATTTATTGATATTCTTACATTTAACATTAAAGTTGGAGTATGAGGGGTTTTTTTCTGGAGCATTTTCGGCCATATTGTTTGAAATGCCCTTCACACACAGAGGGCAACCAATTAAATTTGGTCAAAAAATGAATAAATGTTATCACCTTTGACACATTCAATTCAGGAAATTTTTCATTCAATCGTTATGAATGTCTCATCCTTTATGATTGGATCATGATCCATCTATCAAAATGCCCTCTGACAGTTCCTTCCCCTCTGTGAATGAATTGCACGGTCTTAGCTTGGAGCAGCTGAACAGGAAGCAAAGCCAGAGCTGGCCTAGCTAGAGTAACGGAATGTTTGTTCTAGTTGTGTTTACAAATTTCATTCAAGAAGTTGTTTTACGTGATCTGTTTAGAATCTTGTTTTGTTCTTTGTGGGAAACGTTTAGGTGACGGACCTGTTGTTTGTGAATGCAGCCTGTCCTCTGTCAGCTGACAGAGCCATCTGTTCATTTGCTGCTCCGTAAACGCATGTTTGGGGAGCCGACAAACCGGAAACAGCGATTAGGAGGAAGTTTGGGTCAGGTTCTGGAAGTTTTGACCTGTTGTTCATGGAGTTTTCCCAAATTTTTGGTGGCACTCAACTAATCGGATTTTGAAAATAAGAATAAAAAAAGAAAGCAAAAACTGCATGGCTTTCCAATCATAAAATGCTACACTATATTAGCTAGCATACTAAATTGTTACATGGCAACATAGGTGTGTTTTGTTATGAATTATGGCAGAAAAGGTGCCAACAACAGGTCGTAAATTTGAACCAGTGGGACCAAATATTCTGCAACCCTGTATTCTGGAAGTGTGGCTAAGGAGGGGAAGCCTAAAGAAAGGGGTAGAACCTTTGGGCTGTGTATTTTCAAACAAGGTGCAAGCTATATAGGGCAAGGATTGCTGAAACATTCAAGTGATGGCACGTGCAGTACTTATGCTGTACTGTAAAGGCTTTGTAACATAAAGCTAAATGATGTGAGATGCGACATAATGCTCACCAAAGTATGTGAGATGCGTGCTGAGCAAAGCTGAATATTTTTTGCCAGGCAAAACACTCAATAAAGATCTTACCCAAAATACATGGAACATTTCCAAGATCTATGGTTTTAAAAACAGCATGGTGTTTGGTTTCAGTTCACAAAGCAGTTCAAAGCAACGCTGAACACATACGGATTTAAGCTAAATGATTTCTGATGTGAAGATCTATAATTTGAGGCAGACGATTCATAATGTGCGCAAAACAATCTCATTTAACAAGAGCAGTACATCATCGGTATTAAAATGTTGCAAATAATGCCAATTTATGCAGCAGTGAAGGTAGAGAAACGGTTCCAGATTATACTTATAAGTCATCGTGAAAGAATCCGTTTCAAAAGAGAATGTGAAGCATGGCCTCTATTACTGGTGCAAACAGAGTAGTTATGGAAGTGAAAGAGGTACATCCTCAAATATGTTTTTAAATAGACTTCTTCTATTGTCCAGTTGCCTTTTAAAATAATTTAACTTCCAGGATTTGAGTGTCCTGGATGAATGAGAATCCACACCAAGAAAAGATGAATCTAAAACGCTGAAAGTACCGAATGAGTTTAAACTAGTTGCCAGTCATTGGGAATTTGTCACTGTAAAGCAGGGGTGTCAAACTCATTTTAGCTCAGGGGCCACATTGAGGGAAATCTAGTCCCAAGTGGGCCGGACCGATAAATAAATAAAAAAACTTCAGATTGTTTTCTTTGTTTTAATACAATCAATATGAAACAAGGCTGGAGCCTGAGGACAGTGTAGTACAAGTACAACACCTGAAGTGTACTTGAACATTTGAAAAAAAAAAAAAAAAAATCAATACATAATAAAAAATTCCTTAGTGATTCAAAGAGCTTACAGATCACATGGCAAGATCAGTTCCATGCAGCACTTAAAGTATATTTGACTCATTTTACCTAACATCTTTTAGCTTTCACCAGCACATCAATATCAGAAGTCACATCCTGAGTGGCGGCCAACTTCAGGATGGGATTCAAGTTCTTGTGTGAGCCTTGAGTGCAGCTTTGTTTTATTTATACTCGTTACAGAGAAAACTTGCTCACAAAGATAAGTTTATTTTCACTCTACATTGTAAAGTATGAAAATAAAGTTTTCACAACCATCTCGCGGGCCGGATTTAACCCGCTTGTGGGCCGCATATTTGACACCCCTGCTGTAAAGCAAAGTAAATACTATGCTCATCTAGAAGTTCATGGTTGGTTTTGGAGATTAACAGTAATTAGTGTAAATGCTTTAATGTATAAACAACATACTGCTCCTCTTGAAGTTGTTTTAAATGGTTAAAGCCATTCTTTCTTTCTTTTTTTTAAGAAGACAGTAAATCGGAGTCCAGTCTTTTAAAGAAATCTTTTTCTAGATCAGTGGTTCTAAATTAACAGATGCTAAAAGGCTTTATATATTAGAGATGTCCAATATTATCGGCATGCCACAAATATCAGCTATTATTGGCATTAAGATGTAAAAATGGAAATTATCGTTATTGGTTTTTACTCTTTTATTGACACATATTTTACAAACCATTCATATAATAAGCAGTATGCTGCTGCCGTAACGTGCAGCCGAGACGCGCCGCAGACGCTCCCATTATGAATCTGGGGTTAGAGTTATCTGTTGGTTATCAGAGTTATCAGATATTGGTAAAAATACAACATGAAACATAAAGGAAAAGCATAAAAACCATAAGCGCAAGTTTGCTTTGTATCTAGCTAATTCAGATTTATGAATTTATTCTATTTGGGGTACTAAGTGTAATTTTTAAATACAAACCAAATCTCACCAGAAATGACTTTGTTACTTGGTGCTCGAGGTTCTGTGGTGCTGCTGACCCGCTGCACGTGACAGACTTCAGAAGACTGAGCACTGCTTCCTCCAGGCTGGGCAGGCTGTGGCACCACAGAGAGACTAAAGCCTGCTTCTCCAACTGCAGACCATATCTGGAAATAATATGTTCTGATTATTCTTTTTTTTAATGACAATAAAACAATTCTTTCTGAAATTTTTGTCAGATTAATGATCGTGCTTATTTTACTAAATCGATTGAAGTGGGTCAAGTGAAGCCCTGGAAATAGTTTCTTTTCAAATTAAAATTGACATCAATTAGAAAATTGCATTATATTTTGTCTTGCATGTCAGAAAACATTCTGAACTTCAGTTGTTTAAAACTACCCTGATCCTTTAATCTGCTTGTCAGCACTGTACTGTAAACCAATAAATGCATGAAATTGGAGCTCAGTAATAACGCACAACTTTTATAGGCTACAATAACAACAACAACATGGATCGCTCCCGTACCTTGACTGACTTGAGCTCAGAGCATCAAAGAAGTCTTCGTTCAGAGAGTCTGAGATTGAAGTCATAGGTTGTTGCAGCAAAGCACCAATAACAGGAGAAGCCTCAGGAAAAGTGGCAAGGGGAACAAAAACCTCTGATCCCGACAGGATACTGTCACACAAAAACGTTCTAAATGCATACGTACGTACAACGTGAACTGTACACTTTCAATAAACAAACCTTGTGTTTTATAGGTTCAAAAAGACATAAAATCTTGTTTTTATTCATTCTACTGGGAGTTTATTTTGCTCAAATTGATACTGAGACCTGTTTCTAATTCTGGCCTCGTTCCAATAAAGGCCTGAACCAGGATGCCCTTGAGTAAATAAAGGCCCGGGCCTGTATTCGAGGATTTACAGTAACTCTGATAACCTAATTTCATCTCGATCTTACATTAACCCTTTAACTAAACAGTCAGCATGTTAATCCTAATCCAATCTTGAATGTAGATTCAGGTTACCTCTGATTCACCTCACTCTGAGAGCTGTGATTGTTTTCAACATTTTCCTTCAGCCGCATCACCATCTGAAACACAAGAAATGCCACAATTAGGAAAACGAGTTGGTGTAATTCAGTATCCGTGAAAATGAATAAGAATCAAGTCAGTTGCACTTAAGACACCATACCTTTTGTAGTACCTTGACATGATACTCTTTGGCTGGAACACCCATGTGCTTCGTTAGTGCCTGGACCGCAACATCATCTTCTGTGGCAAGCTGACACAACACTTTCTGTGGGAGAGGAGAAAACACAAACTGCAGCACACTTTTGGCACGTCGTGCATATAACAATGGACAAGAGCTTGGTGCCGTCTCCCCCACACCCAAAGATTCATTACAGCAAAGCTAATTGGTTACAGGAAAACAGAATGACTCTGTTGGCGTCACATCGTTTGAAACACATGAGTGGAGAAAAGGTATTCCAGTTAGTGAGAATGTATGGACAGCATATGAGCGGCTTCAGAAATGAGCATTCGTTTTTACAAAGGGTCTTGGTGTTTTACAAGATTTTTTTTAAAGGGGCCTCATGACAAACTGATAAACTAGATCATTAAACTCGACCAGTTCTCGTCTGTGAAGCGTGTTTTTATTAAGGAAGAAATAAAAAGCACAATACTTTACTGCAAGTATTTATGCGATGGGAGTTGTGTCAAACTGTGTTTAAATAAACTAAAAACCAGCAAAATGTGCATGTAAAAAAGTATTAAAATGAATAAAAAACACTGATTTGTTGTAACACAAAACATCTGGTAATATAATTAATACAGTGAGTGTTGGGCGGGAATTTTCACTGCTAGAAGCAAAAGTTCAGTCGAAACCCTGAGGATCTTAAATGTTATTTGAGGATTATTTGAAATAAAATGCACTTCCGTCAGTCACCAAGTTGACCCACTACCACCGCTTTGAGCAGATTCAAATAAGAACTAACACTTTAAAGGTCTCCTTCACTTGTTTTTACAATGAATCTGCTGTGGTCTCCAGTATGAATGAATGTCGTGTGAGTGGTTTTCCTTTGGAAAAATTCTGTAGCGCTCCAGTTTCATGGGGTAGAATTTTGTTGGAGGGGCTTGGGGGGGGGGGGGGGGGGGGGGGGGGGGGCTAGGATTACACATCTTACTTATTAATATTCATGAAATGCAAACTTCTTGTCTCTGATTGACTAACAGCAGCATGACCCCTCCGCCGCCTTTGTTTGCTCCTCTTTCCCGGGTAAAAATGCAGCTGTGCTGACTTAATTTCACAAAAGACATAAGCCTGGATGTGTTCTGCCATGCGGTGGAGTTACTAAAGCTAATAGGTAGCTTCTACTAGCCAAGATGTGCTCTGCTCACATAGGCCAAGCTCCAGATCCACATTTCCGTCCCTGAATAAAAGGTTAGCTACGTATCTTTGCGCTCCTTCAGTCAGTAAACATTCACATCGACTGACTTTTGTCGGAAGGTGTTTTTAAAGAGACACTAGGGAAATCTTTCCTATTTTTACATCTTTTTCTTGAGCCAGTATGTGCTAAAATGGCCCTTTACAGCGTTAATGAAAGGCCACACAGACCCTGTCGCCCCCTGAGGCCGATTATTTCACCTGCAACTTCAGAGTTGCCGATCCGGTCTGTTGGACTTAGAAAAAAAATTGAGCTGACATGCCTGGTACAGCAATTTGCTCCAGCAGGTTTGCTGTGTGTTTTAGATCAAGAACGCAGCTGATATTTTAATTTAGTGCTGAATCGCTCCTGTAGACACTAATGAAGGCTGGGGAGACATTTTAGCTGTTTGATTAAGGTGTTAAAAAACGAACACGTCAGCTAGGAGATAAGTTTGCTTTTGGTTAAATTAAACAGACATTAGGGGTACTAAAAGCAAGCCAAAACTGCCTAGTCTCCCTTTAGATATTGTCAAACCACTAAAAAGTTCCCGAGCGCAGCCACTGCTGCAGCTCACTGATGACTAATGAGACTTTAAGGCCCTGTCCACACGTAGCCGGGGACCTGCCAAAACGTAGATATTTTTCCACGTTTTGGCCTGTCATCCACAGGAAAACTGAGTTTTTTCACGCGAAAACGGATCTTTTTAAAAACTCCGGCCAAAGTGAAGATCTGCGTTTTCTCCGTTTTGGGTGTCTGCGTGTGGACGGACAAAATCAGAGTTTTAAGGTCCGCAACGTCACTTTCCGCGACAAAAAATGCTGACATCACGTGTGCGACCTGTGTTTACACTAGCCGACATCATGGAAGCCCTCAGAGCTGCACTCTGTCACTACCCGATCCATCAATTGTCCAAGCGCTTTTTGCTTGTTTGTTTTTGCAAGCGGAATTACTGCTCCTTGCGGAAGACCACAGACGAAGGACGAGGCTAAGAACGGGGGAAGTACTGCCGCCTACAGGTCTGGCATGTCCTTAACAACGTATTTATCCGGGTACGTGTGGACAGTTTTTTTTAAAACGAGGTGGTGTGGATGCAAGTTTTTGGGGGGCGGATATTCGTTTAAAAAAAAATCGGCTACGTGTGGACTAGGCCTAAATCTGCTCAGAGTCTGCTGCTAGATATTTTTGGCACTCGTTAAATTTTTTTGAGGGGGGGATGGTCGTGCTGTTGATGAATTGGAAGGAGGCAGTATCCTGACCAATCATGCTTCTGATCTTCGTCACTTTGATGAACAATTAAAGTCACCCTCTGAGGGCCTGTCACAGAGCCCTTGTGTTGACACATAATGGTGTTGCATGTTTCTGTATCCATGCATGTTCTGTGGCTAATGCATGCAGTGTTTCAAGAAAATGTTCATGTTCAGCATGCATGCGCAACTCAGAGTGACCAATCGTATCTCAAAAAGAACAAGTATTACAAGGTTTCTAAGCTAAAAAGACATCCACACTATGAAGCAGATTAAGACTCCAGATAAAGCGGCGACAAACACCAAAAGGCAGAAAAAGATACTGTGAGAAGCCCAACATGGAGCAAAAAAATAAATAAACCAGAGGGAAATACGTGCTTCAGAGCTGATGGTGTAGCCGTGTGGTTTCTCTGGCCAGGCTCTGAAGCACACCATGATGATTACCCTCCACAAAGTCGCACAAAACCACTCCAATCGCTTCCATCTGAAAGTTCTCAAAGCCTGTACACCGAGCACATACAGAACTGATCAGTCTCAAGCCACAGTTGGTAAGGAGGCACAGTGGGAGTGAGGGAAGAGACAGAAGCAAAGATGGTTAGTGGAAAGACTGGAAAACACTACAATGGCTGAGTTTTAGGCAAGAAAAAGGGGTGTGGTTGTTAGTGGAATGGAAGGAAGATGAATAGATGGGTGGCAAATTCTTTAGGTCAAAAGCAATCTTTCTTTCACAGAAAAAAAAAACAACTAAATAGGCTTTAGGGACAAGTTCCTGCCATATAAATGATCCCTCCATAAATCTACAGTTAAAATCAATGGTTAAAATGCAGGATGTAGAATATGTACAAGGCAAAGGCTTGAGTTATTTTTGATGGGTGTCTGTTAACAATTACTAAGCCATGATTGAAAAACCAATGAAAGACTTAAGTATAGCCTCAGATGGTCAAAACGGAAAAAAACAACTGAAGTTGAAATGAGGCATAAGAGCACAGAAAAGAAGGTCGAATCTCAGAAAATAATTACTTAGAAGAAACTGAACGTCAAACCTGGTTTTTATGGCCATAAAGCATTTTGCAGTTAAAATGTCAAGGCAGTCCGTTTTTTAATGTTTTACAGCAACGGAGATGCTAAGCAAACATCCCTGCCTCTCTTTAGTAAGGCTAGTACATCATTAGATGCAGATAAATGCATATTAGTGTGGGCATTCATCGGTGTTTACATAACAAAATCCTGAAATTTTTACTAAAAGCAGACAATCTAGTCATCCATAAGCAACAAGGAACACTTGATTTTTACCAAAAAGTAAAAATAAACAGGAAAGAGTGAAAACTGAAAGATTTAAAAGATACAAATAAAATATATACTTGGGTTTACTGATCAGAGTCATAAAAAAGCAGAAAGTAATGCCCTGAAAGACTCAAAAAGGCAAAAAGGGGGTGTCATTGTGCCACTTCCATATAAAATTAAAAAGACTGAGATCAAACACTTATGAGAGCCAACAGTCGAAACTTTTATAATTACAAAGCAGCAACAGAGGCTCCAGGGCTCACCTGTGGTTCACATTGTTTCAGTCACTAACGATAAACATGATTAAGCCATCCTTCAGCTCAGTTTGGGCTTCTAAAATTACCCTTTCATGTTTTTCCTATCTGTCATCTCCTCAATGTCATATTACTGCAGCGCTGTGAGGTCCCTCTATAAGAACAGGATGTCAAAAAATTAAGGTAATCCCCATCTAACATAGCCCGAAGCTTTGTGGTGGTACCCAGAATTCAATCAAACACAGTGTGAAAACTCAGAGGTGGCAAAAGGGCTGCATGTTGGCGCAGTTGCCTCGCAGCAAGACGGTTGCAGGTTCGAAACTCGGCTGCGGCCTTTCTGCGTGGAGTTGCGTGTTCTCCCCATGCATGCGTGGATTTCCTCCGGGTACTCCGGTTTCCCCACTGATCACAACATGCCCTATAGGTTATAAATTGTAAGTCGCTTTGGATAAAAGCTTCTGCCAAATAAATAAACATAAAGATAAACATAAAAGGGAGGCAGACATGATGCAGAGGTAAAAACAGACAGGAGGACAGAAAGGCTGTACCTGCTTTTTAAATCTAATGAGAGAAATATACAAGGGTGGTTTTAGTGCATGCAGCAGCTAAAAGGAGATAAGCATTCAGACAATAATAAATAATCAGACCAGGATAACTGAAAACAGGTTTTAATCTGCATTCCAAGACAAGCAACCCTGTGCAGACACAAGGGCAGACTCAGAGACAGACCATCTCTGATTTAAAACTATTCATCGGCTCTTCCCTCCAGACAGGCTAAGTTTAGCTGAAAGAGGTTTTCCTCTGGTTTCCGCCATTTCTGCATCATTTGTCGAGGCATGTTTGGAGGACGAGAGGGCAATGAAGAGAAACTGTAGAAGTGGTTATGCGTTTACTGTTCTGGTGCTCTCTGAACCCCTTCAACAAGGAATCAACAGAATGAACTAACCTGGATGGAACTGCTGCTTCTGAACCAACTGCAGCTAGAGAAATTCAATACAGATTTTTTTTTACCAATATTTGATCACTCTTAATGTCCGATACCTATTTAACTGATACCAATATATGTGGGGTCCCTCATCATAAATAAAG